TGTTTCAATTTTTTCCAATGATTTAGCTTGATCACTGACAAGCATAACACTTTCTGGTTTTGTTGTACCCATGGTTAAAATAATGTTGAATATACCACTTGTTTTAATACCATAGAAACTAGACACTTGACGTACTTGGGGCGGTTGGCCATCAATAGTATTAGTTGTTAAATTAGTTGATGCGACTGATACATTTGAAGTTTCTAAAATGATAAAAAATAAATAAAAGATAAATCATTTCTAAATATTCAGTATGTCCAAAATAATTTATTGATCCTTGGTAATTTTATATTTAATAAAATGTTCTTACGTTTCACTTTCGACTTTGGTCGTTCTTTGGTTTGAACTGTGATTGTTGGAAGATATGTCGAACAGACTACAGCACTTCGTTCACCAGTTTGTATAATGAGTGGCACGGATGAAGTGCATAAATCTTGCTGATGATCATCTGTTTCACCAAATGATGATAATGAGGCAAATGAATCATATGGTAATATAGTTGGGTTTATATTGGTTTGAAAAGAAGATGCACGAGAAGGAGAAGGTTGAATAGGTATTGAAAATTCTACAATAATTGTTGGATTATAATTTATCGGATTATGAGTACAATTATTCTATGTTATATGCAATCAGGTGTGAGAAAACAATCATTGACTTTTTATCCGTCAACTGACTTCATGTTGGTCGAGTTCTGTTAAAGCATACATACGTGCACAATAATAACAGCTTGCTTTGACTGCAATAATTAGAGAAAAAAAAACAAATTAGCATATTTATTTATTATAGTTTCAATCTACCTTGATAGTCGTCGAGGTGCGCTAGAATCTGTCATAGGTGTCGATGATATTGAATTTGATTTGTGTGGAATAGGTGGAAGAGCACGAGGTGTTGGCGGTTGAATTACAGATGAGACATTAACGGTGGTGATTGAAATGACTGCATTACTAGTACTACTCCGAGCGCTTGGTGGACGACTTTGTTGTCTTATGCTAGATGGTCTATTCGACCGAACAACTCGCGTTGGAGCTGGAGACAATATTGTTATTGTCAAACTCGCTATATTTGAATTGTTCAATTTTTTTTTTAATTCTCAAATTAATTACAATAACTTTTGTCAAATAGTCATAGCTTTACCGTAGAAGCAGCCAACATGTTTCGTAACTAGCGAAAATTAGGTTTTTTAGTCCCTGTTCCAGAAAGACAAGTAACAATTATTGTTCAAAGTTTATTTGTACGGTTTGTAGGATATGAAGGCCGATTATCTGCTATAACTTGGGTACGAACATCATTATCATTGAAAATATTAGGCCAATACATGGCCCCATTATTATATACCTCAATCATAAGCATACCTATTGAATACATATCGGATTTTTCAGTATAAGTTACTGGGTTACTGTTCTCTAGAATTTCAGGTGCGGCTGTACATGTTACAACGGTCTATTGTTAATAAACATAAATTATCATTAATTTCAATTTAGTGGTAACTTCCATAATTGTAGTCGTTGAAGTAGCACTAATAACTGAAGAATAAATTGAACTAAATCGACTTAGACCAAAATCAGTAAGTTTCATTCAATTATATTTTATTTCATTTGGATTAAATCGAAACATGAGTACATTTCGACATGCTAAATCTCCATGTACAATTTGATTGTAAACTACAAGAAAATAAATTATAGTAATCAACTTTTTTTTCTTATTATCTCACCAAGAAAAATCATAGCATCATGAATTTAAATAAATATTTCTTCAAGAATTTTATCATTAGGTAATTCTTATTGATCAGGCAAAAATTCAAAAAGACTTTCTTCATTAACATTAATGATGTAGTATTCGGTATAATGTCGTACAATGTGTGAATGTCGACTGAGTTTAAAATAGAATGAAGCTTCTTTTTGAGCACGTGCTCCATCAATTTGTAATATGATAATTGATGATCATTGTTCTTGAGTAATCCATTCAGCTTTATAGATTCTTTTGCCAAATATTTGAAAAAGTGCTCGTTTATCATGTCGAATATCAATACCTATTTTAAATTTATGATTTTTACTTTGAATATTATTTTCAAAATCATCTACTACTTTTTTTATAGTAAGATTTGGACGTAAAAGATCAATACTCAATGGTTGTCGTGTAGGAAGACTCGTTCCATTTAGATGAATCCATTCTGTAATAGCTGTTCGTTCATATATATGACCATCTTCAGTTAAAACAGGATCTTCAAATAATTGTAAACTGCTTGGACATATTAATGCTGTTTCTAAAGAACTTAACATTATTTCAACACAATTTGGTATTAATTCGATCGTCGAAACTCAGCTGTACTCATTTATTCGTTCGTTCGTTTTAACATATTGCGAAAGAAAACAAAAGTACAAATTTAACGATTTTTTTCCAAGTGACCTATACTATTGTCCGATGTTTTCAATAAATAAGACTTCGCGAAAAACTACTTGTGCGTCATTTGTTTATTAACATTCGTTCTTTTCATCAAGAAAAATTCAATTTACTTTTTATTTGAATTCATAACTACATAAAAAAGAAAAGACTAACATTCATATAACATATTGATTATTTAGAAAAATATATCTCAACAAGAACCCAATGTGAAAACAGCAGACTTCAATATATATGAAAAGTTGTCAGCGTAATCCCTGTAGAATTAAAATGTGAAACACGATGTGGCTTTTTTTGATAATCACAGAAGGATTATTTTATTCTATCTATTTTAGAACATATTTCTTCACCATCCTTTTATTTAATTCTTCAGAAATGTACTAAGGAAGTAGTTCATAGATTAGAACGAGACATTATTGATTTATGATCTGTGATGATATATCAACAACGTCTCTCATGTTCTGTGACGCGAGAGGTGAGGAAGTCATGGCCTTGCTAAAATGTCTGTCACGATCTGTGATGAAAGAACTTCAAGACTGAAGTCTTTGCTATTGCCCCCACATGATTGTCTTACATAACGGTAAAAAAAAACATTTTCGAACGTAGATGATCAAACTATCAAAATCATTAACATCTAGAAATAAATGATAGTTAATTACGGATAGTGAAAAAAAGTGAATGTATTTTTTACTTCAGTCAGAATGAGGTCAACATTTTTCAATCATATGTTGCTATCAATAATTTCATTGTGAACAATCATACGATAGTATAGACAAACAATGATCAAGCTAAATTATCATACACACTATTTAATCAGAGAGAAGAGAAACGACATAATTTTGCATGATCAAAATGAAATTGATGTTGTTCTTAATTGTTTTCATGTTTCTTGCGAATGACATGAACACATTCTTTCCATATTCATTATTTGATAAACATACTCGAAAGTCTTTTATTGACTATATTTTTTTTTTAACATAGTTAAGTAATCATAGTAATCCTTGATAGTATTAAGGAATTTTGATGACGATAAATGATTTATTGTTTTGTTGCGTGATTATGTTTCGAATTCATATGTATGTGATTAATTTTTTGTGTTCTTGTCATTCACTAATTTCTTTTTTGATGTTGTCTTCGATTAATTAACTAACTTCTAATACCGTCAAGATAAGATGATTAAAAAAAAAAGCAATGATTTTATTAAGCCAATTTATCCCAATATTGAAACAAAAAAGAACATTATTCGTAATTATCTTAAACAATCAGTTTAAGCTTGTTAGAACAAACTTAATATTATCTCTTACTATTTGCTATTTCATCACATTCTCAAAATTCACTTATCGATTCAAACATGTCTTCTAACAAGAATCAAAAATGGTCATCTCCAGTTTCGCTTACGAAACTTTTTTCTCGTATTACACGTACACTTTCATTTTCATCTAAGAAACGGCAACAATCATTGAAGAAAACGAATAAAGTCTGGTCAAAGCCACAATCGATTCCAACGGTAAGTTATTATTTGTTTTTGTTATTATTTCTCTAGTTTCTCTTTTATAGAATACTTTATTCGCTCCAAAAAGTGTTCCTATTATTCGTCGTCAAGCACCACAACTCATTGCACAAATTCTTTACAACGATAATAGTCGACCAGGAAATTGTTATCAACAAGCTATGCATGTAAATATGTATAACAAGATTAATTTCGAAGAAAATGATGATGATGATGATGATAACTATTCTCGCTATTCACTTCAACCTAATTTATCACTTTTTAATATTAGCTCAGATAATCTTCATTATCAACGAGAAGAATGTTATGAACAAATTCCTCAACAACAAAATTGGCTAGACAATATTTTTCACTCAACCAAAATTGAACATTCTTAAAAATTCCTTTTTTTTGTTTGCTATTTAATCATAATCATAATAAATTTTTCTGTTATTCTGTAGTTTTCATGAATAAACTTTCTTCTAAAATAATACATATAGTTTCATGGTGTTCTGTATCAATAGTGATTCTTCAATCATTCAGTTGACATGTTCATCTCATGTGTTGTTTTCTTCTAGATGAATTAACTATGAGAATGACCAAATTCAGGACAAAGATGAGATAAGTGAAATTAGTTAAGAAGAGTATCTATAGTCTCTTATACTTTTTAGTGCATATAGCTGTATAAAAAATAGAGTATAGATAATTACTTGAAACAGTATTGCGACGTTTTCTTTCTTTCTAAGTATTTTCTATTTGTTTTGTTTGCTGATATTTGAGAAGATAAATATGTAGCTGCCCAAGGATCAAACGAGTCGATCGAAGTTCAATGATGGAAAAATTTGTTTTTGCACAAGATCCTCTGGTACAAACTCAGTAACTTGTTGTTATACGGATAATACATAATAACAAATGTGAATTAACAACAAGTAATGAACAATTCCTAGTTCTTTTTACTAAATCTGAATTGTTTGTATTTACTTTATGAACTTAAAAGTCAAGACTATGTAAAAAAGAACCATCTTTCTTTTCTTTTCATTAGTTATGAAGTTTTGTTTGCACCACAAGATCTGTTATTTTACACTGCTTTGTGAGCAATATATAAAACAGCACGTAGAATTGGACGCTGCAACTAATACTATGCTTTGCGCTAATAAAAGGGCCGATAGTTGAGTAAGAAATTGAATAATTTCAGATCCATTATGTTCTTCCACCGTATATCAACTAGAATCGATGTCAAAAGCATTTGAATCATTGTAACGTAAGATGAAGCGAAGAGTCACGGTAGTGTATTAACTTTACAATATTGAAAGAGAATAATTATAGTTCACATATTAAATTGTTCTGTTATTCTTAACTATTTGTGATAGGCTGTATTGTCGAATACAATGTTTCGTATCATTTCTCACCGATGGAAAAATCGTTAGAAACCAATAAAACGAAATACAATTGAATATGATCTGCTTTCTTCACAGTCGGACAAACCGTCTTGTTTATCTTATTGGAAGTCTATATCATGTTTGATGCGTAACTATTAAACAAATTTCATATTCTAGTTTACTACTTAGAAAAGTAGTTCATTACAACGGTATTTCAATGTGTATCGTTTCAGATAAAAAAGTTCGCTTCTATTTAAAATGTGAGAAGTCGATATGGAATGCGAGAATATTTATTATAAATTATCAAAAAAAAAAAACCTAAACTATCGATAGTTGTTATCTTACTATTCATTAAATGTTTTTTTTTAAATCAAAACGCGAGATTAAATAACAAATAAAAACAACAAGAAATTTAAGAAAAAATATTTAAAACAATGACCATTTGGTCGTTTTCATTTTTGATTCACTGGTTGTTAATTGCACGGCTTTGCCTGATTTTGACCAAGCATCAGCTCCATGTGTATCTTTTGGAGGTTCAATATCCGCTCGTTGACGTTTCTTGTCTTCTGTTGAAACTTTATAATACTCATCTCGTTGACGTACTAAATCTTCATTTATTTGTCCATCTTGTAAAAATGCCATCATTAATTGTGGAACACCCAAAGGAATTGTATCACCACGATCAATTTGCCATGCTATATATAAAATAATTTTTTTTTTTTATTAATCTTTTATTTTTCTTTTAATTAATAAGAATTTACTATGAAAGGTTTTTCCATATGTATTAATTAATTCTTTCATGACTTCTTTTTCAGCTATATCTGGTACACCTGGTGTAATTAATTCACCACTTTTAACTTCATATACATGTGAGTGCCATAGTTTCTTTTCTTCTGGTGGTAATTGATTAAAAATTTTTTCTGAAATAATATATTCAATACCAATAAGACGTGCATCTGCACGATCACTATCATAAATAACACATTGACGAACATCTTGATTTATATGTGAACAATAATGATGAGCAATCAATTGACGATTAAGTTCACCTATAATCCAAAATGAAAATTAAAAAAATGCATAAAAGACAAAGAATTTTTACCAGAATAAAAATGAAAACCACACACATGTTGATGAATTGAATTTATTGGAGCAAAATGACCCTAAAAATAAAAAGTTGTTAGCACAATTCCTGCGATATTAAAATATCAAACACGATATAGCTGTTGTTACTGGTTGAGATTCAAAATTTTATCTATGTACTTCAACACTTCTTTTAGATTATGTTTCACAAAATTTATTCTCTAACTATACATTAATTAAAATATACATACGGCCATACGAGCACCCATATCAAGAATACGTCCTACAATTATAATATAAAAACAAAGAATTCATTTATCATTCGAAATGTTTTTCTTCTATATGATACCTTTCATAGTCATCTTTGATCCAGGTGTTTGTTCACCATGTTGATGTTGATTTGCTACTGGAAACCATTGTAAGAGTTTTGCAGTACTAATACCTGCTCCAAATGCAAGTGCATAACCTAATAATTTCTGCATAGATATCTACAAGTCGATATAATACGTATTGTTTCTTTTTTTTTCTCGAGTAATCAATTACACAAACACAAGAAAACTAAAGCAATTATACATTTTGAATACGTATATATAAACACAAAAGAGAAAAAAAAAACCACAACTATTATATATTTTTTTTTTCTAATGAGCCGTTGTTTTATGTAAAAGTAGTCCTGCTACTGAACCTCGTTCATTCATAGCTGTTCGTAATCGATTTTCTTTTTCGACAAGTTCTTCATAACGCATTAACTAAAAATATTATTCAATATAGAATCTAGAAAATATTATTATAATACTTCATGTAATCGTTCAAGATCAATTTGAGCACGATGCTTTCGATCCCATTTAAAATGTTTTGAACATAATCGTTTTTGAACTGTACATAAATCATCTGATACTTCAAATAAATCTTTCTCTAATGGACAACCACATGCTTCATCTGGACCAATCTATTCATAGAATTTAAATATGAAAAGAAATTTAAGAAAATATAATTTTATTTTGTTTTTTACTTTTGGATCTCGTGAATGTTCTGGACAAATAACTTTAAGTCGTTTACAATAAAGATTATTTGTACGATCATAATTATCACAAAATAAACCTTCAATATTAGATTTAACATTTGATCCATATGATACTTGACTTTCAAACTAAATAAAATAAATTATTTGAAAAAAAAAAAAAAACAAAAATAAGAAAAATTTCTTCACTCGAATAAAACATTTATCAATATGACGTGTATAAGATTTTTGACTTATTTCTTGATTACATAAAATACAAAAATACATTCCATCAGATTCATCATTCGTTGTATCAATTTTCTAAAAAAGAAAATAGAATAAAAACAATATTTAGAAAAAAAAAACAAATCAATAATCAATATATTTACATTTGTATCTTTAATCGCTTTTAATTGTTTTCCACGTTCAATTATTTCATTTAATTTTCGTTGTCGTTCATCAAGTACTGATAAACGTTGTTTTATGTCTTCAATTTCAGTTCGAATTTCATCAATAGCTTTTTTATTTAAAGTATCAGCAACAGATGGAATTGTTTGCCATTGCATTAGACGCATTGGAAGAAATTGAAGAAGACGACTAATAGAAATACATATTACATATGTAATACAGTAGTAGACAAAAGTCTCCGCTCTATTTGGTCTCGGCTTCTGTATGTACCAGAAGTCTGAGAATTTTTGTACACGTACTTCATCAAGAATATAGGTCGTTGGTATTATGGCACCGTTATTGGTTAATTACAACGAGAGTTATGATGGACAATAGCAATTATTTTGCTCTGAGAATTATTAACCTAAAAAAGACTGCCTAGAAAATTTTGCGTTATTTCTTACTAAAAATATGACTAATTCTTGATATTTTTACATGTAGCTGAAGTTCCATCTACGACCTTTTTTCACCCAAAAAATAATCTAATTTGCTCGAATATTGGTGTTTCTGTATCCTCGCAATTGACAAGAGTATTATCTACTTTTTATTTCTTTTTAGTGTAAGATTCGCTTCTGAAACTTGTATACAATAATGTCTAACTGTAGACAAAGCTTCTCAAAAAGTTTGAACTCGTTTTATTGAACTATCATTGAGTTATTGACCTCTAAAAGGCAGTGGATGGTTTCTTTTCATAACAATAATCATAATAAAAATGAACATAGTCTTTGAAAGGATTGATGAACTTCAATGAAATTAGTAATATCGATAGCTGCGACATATTGCGCAGTCGACTGATACAAAATACTCTTTCTTTCCAGGATCATGAGGCTGACAAGAAATATAAGTGACATCCATCATAACTTCCTTTGTAATAAGCAATAACGACACTGCAATGGCAATGATTTACATTCTTGGTAAAGTGCATGTACAAAAATTTTCAGACCTACAGCACACATAGTGGCCGAGATTGACTGGGATGAAGACTTTTGTCTACTACTATATATATGATAATATTATAATCAAATTCTTAATACTTTCGAGCTAGTTCTAAACCACATTTGTTCGAACAATATTTTGATGCAGGACGTGCTTCGAAAAGACAACCTGGTCCGTAACATTGACGAGATATTTTTTCATTGATACGATTACGTCGTCGAGCACTAAGATTTTTTGTATCTTCCTGAATAGATATTTCAAAAACTGATTTTCTTTTTTCTTTTTGCGAAAAGAAAAATGACTAACTTCATCATTTAATTCTGACCGTGGTTCACGTTTGATAGTAGTCATACCACTACTACTAACATTTCTTTTTCGTTTTTCACTAGTTCCAATATTTTTTGTTATTAATGAACGTTTTGTTGTGTTTATCAAATTTTTATTTGTTTGTTCTTGTTCATCACGTGAAAGTAAAGCTTCATATTGTACAGATTGAATACCGGTCGATCGAGGTACTCCAGAAGTATTTCCATGTAATACTTGCTGTTGTCGAGACATGACATTGGTCGATGATGATGATGAGTCTGATTGATTACTAGTTGAATCATCATTAATAAATTGATCCATACTACTTGAATGTTCTCTAGTCTTTTTATCATTCTATGGAAAATAATTTTAAACATTGATTATGCTTACGTGAAAATCATCTGAATTGAGATCTGTCGTTTGAGCTTACAAGAACATCTTGATGAGACTAGCAGAAGCCTAGAAATGTTCGTTTCCATAGACCTTTGAAGATAAATTCTGATCGTTTTACTGAATTTTCGGACAAGTTTTAGGCATATACTGAAAAATAAAAAAAAAGAGGATTCCAACGTCAAATTCGCTTCTTGGATACATTAAATGATCTGTACAATACTCGAAAAGTTTCAGCTGGAAAGAATGTTTCTTTGTCAGAATATTGAATTTCCAAGAAATAATCGTTTACTACAGACATGTTACAAAAAAAAAACTCGACAAACGATGATTCTTTGCGATTGAAACTTTCAGAATATTCTATGAATCATTTGGCCTATCTATGAGCAGAGTTTTATATCGAAATTCTGCTTTTTCGATTACGCACTATACTCGTAAGACTGAATCAAAAATTCAGTAGAACAAGTATAACTCTTCTTCAAAGATCCACGGGGACGAACTCTTTTGAGGCTTTTTCTAGTCTCATTAAGATGTTCTCGTGGACCTCACATGAATTCAAATGATAGATATCAGTTCGAGTGATTTCCTCGTTAGTTGATTTATTCTTCAGCTTACAGTTGCTATTTCATTTTGTTTTTGCATAGAAATTAATGAAGGATTCAATAGTTGTGCTTCTTTTTGTAATCGTCTCTAAAGTTAAATGTATAGGAAAAAACGATGTCAAAAATGGAAAATAAATTTTACTTTAATGCATTTGCTTAATTTTTCTTCAATTTCCTTTAGTGGTTTATTATATCTGATTTGTAAACTGGGTGTTTTATCTATAAAAAAAAAAAGAATATTTACAGTAAAATCTCTCTTAATGAACATTCTAGAAATACAGAGTCTACTCGCGTATATCATCAGTGCTCATTGGATAAAATTTCGAAGATATAATCGTACAAACAAAACTGTTAGCTAGGCAAATTTGAGACGAAGAAATGTTTTTCTTTGTTATATAAGAACACAAATTTTGTATACAACTTTTCGAATTTCAGTTCGATAGAAAGCAATAATACTATTTATTGTAATTTTCTGTGCACTTTATTACTTTTTCGAATTAGAATTATTCTAATGAATCGATCATTAATAAAAATTAGTCTCTTTTTAATATAACTTTATGTATATGGCCAATAGGACTGTCTTCTTTCATCTTTCTTGATGATACAAACTAAATAGAGAAATCAACTTTGCCTTTGACAGTTGAACGGATTTTTGAAAAATTTTTCTTCAATTAGCAAAATTTTCCATTTGAGCGACCGATTCTTTACCTCTCTTATAGGATCAGTCTTTGATTCTAAGTGCAAACTAATTTTTTCGTAGCAACTGTACCCATTGACTTTGTCAATATGAGTATCACGAGAGGGCGCTGCATAAACGAATCCTATAATTGGAGGTTTGGAGATCATTTTCACGGCTTCGATTGGTTTCATGATTGAATATTATGAAAATAGAAAAAATAGATGCAGAGATACTATTTCCAGAAGTACTTTTAATTTGTGAGCAAGCTATAATGAGCTTGATTTAAAAAGCAAACAATGAATTTTTAAGTAAAAGAAAAATAATGCGGTTTGTCCGATCGTGAATGAAAGAAACAGTTTTAAGAATCATCAATGATTGTACATTGGAGTGGTTTGTCACTCAAAAATTGTAAAATATGTCACTATCGAATGTTTCATTGTTAGAGTACTGAACTACGATGAAATATTATCGATGCGTATCTGGATTCGAATGCTTTCAAATAGTTCTCTATTCTAACTTTTTCTCAACGTGTTTAAACTGAATCTCGAGAGAATATTTGAAGATGATCTACTTTGAACTATCTAAAGAATTGAAAGTAGTAAGAAATATTTGAAACAAAAAAACAATAAAGAGCACTTAAAAGGAGACAAGAGATAGGAAGTAGTAAAAATGATGTTTAGCTTTGTTTTGTGCTTGACATCCTCTAAAATGATCGTTCTGTTATACTGAATGATTTTCATCAGTCTTAAAGATATTCACAATGAAGAGACTTTACTGTACATAAGTTATTTAACTAATGAAAAAGATTACTTACGACGACATTGATGACAAAAGAAATTTTCTATTCTTGCTGATTCTTTTTCACTAATTCCAATACATAAACCATGATACCATATATTGCATGCATCACATGCACTAAAAAATTTTCATATGAAAAATAAATTCTAGAAAAATATTTTTCTTTTTTTCATACATCATAAATGTTGAACAATCACTTGATCGACAAAGACAATAAAGTACTTGACCATCGCCTAAACTTGAATTTGATAATGATTTATGACTAAACGATCCTGATGAATGTTTTGAATTTATTGTTGACATCTAAAATACAAAAAAAAAATATATATACATATATACGTTTTTCTTAATCTTTGTTTATTTATTCTTTGGAAAACATCTAATTATCAAAAGTCAAGTAATAATTGCATAAGAATTTTTTCAAAATGTTGAATATCAACATGAATTGTTCCTTCTGATGATGCTTGTTGAATTGTACGTGTAAATGCTTGATGAATAAATATAAATATTAATTCTGTAAAATATTTCACCATATCACTTGATAAACGTGATGATTTATCTTCAGGTAAAAAATGTTTTAATAATTTGGCAATAAGTTCTGTTTTGATATATTCATTATTACGATTATTTATTTCATCCATCTATAAAAACAAAAAGAAATCTACGATCGATAAATAATTATTTAGGATTTATTTATTTATTTATTTATTTATTCAAATATATATAATAATATCAAGTAAAAAACAAAAGAAAAAATCTAGAAAAATCAAACAAAAATTTAATAAAAATTAACAAAAATCTTGAATCTTACTTCGATTTATTGCTCCTATTATTGTCGATTGAGAATCAAACTGTTCAATTGATAATGTATTATTATCAAAACATTTTTCATTTAAATTAGATAAATAATCAGGTAAAATTAATAGTTCATTTTTAGCTGCATTGAATATTGGAAATGAACCTTCATTACAAAATTCACCTGTCTTATCATCGAGATCTAATGACCACATAATTACACCGCCATAACCATGTTCTTTTAAAAATTGCATCTAATTCCAAAAGAGAAAAATAACACGTAAATTACCATTCGATTTAAAAAAAAAATATTTTTCTGTTTCTACTTTTAATGTAACACTTCGAATATTATCATAACCAATCCATAATGTTTTACTTGATACATATGGAACACTCATTTCACGATGCCAATAGACACGATTACTTGAATTTTTTTGAATCAATTCACAAATCTTATTTATTATATAAATGAAATATATTCAAATTTATTAAAAATCAAAAATTTACTTCATAATAAGACAAAACACCTGCTTCTCGTGTATATTTTCCAGGTTCAGCAGCACCTGCTTTTAATCCAATCGATGATTTTTTCTTTCGCATCGATTTATTATTAGTTATACCTGGTTCTCGAAGTAATGAAAAAGCTCTTCCTGAGTAAACAATTTATTGTAAGAAAAAAATAAAGTATAAAATAAGGATAGAAAAAAAAAAGAGAAACTGACCATAAGCTGAAAGACCAATATTAAGTTTTTCTTTTGGACAACCTAGTTCAACCCATACATTCATTGAACTATTTATATTCCATTCACGAAATTTTTTTCTTTCTTTACGCATTCCATATAAAGGACTATTATGTCCAGTTTTGCCTTCCCAACTACCATGATAATCATCTAAACCAAGAAAAAAAAGAAAAAAAATTTGTTATTAAATTACTTACAAGTCATTACAGATACAAAATCAAAATATCTGAGAAAAATACAAATTCATAAAATCTATTAAATTATAAATAATATCTTACTTGCAAACTTCTTTAACTTCATAACCAGCTTCAATTCGATGTCGTGCTGCAGCTACAAGAAAATTTTTAATTATTTATTAGATTTTTCATAAATAATTAAAATACCTGTAGCACATGTTAATAATAATCTTTCTTTTCCTGTTTGTGTAGCTTCTTCTTGAAACATTTCACTCAATTTCTATTTCATATTATTTTTTTAATAATGTTCATTCTACATATTTCTTTTACCTTGACTAATTTCGTATATCCAGTTTTAGAATGAGGTTCTGCACCTTGATCTTTTGCACCTGGATATTCCTATTTAAATAAAAAATATTTTCAATTATATTTAAAACAACTATTCACATAATCTCTGTATGATTGGAATGTAAAACACGATGTAATTGGTGTTACTAATCACATGAAGGTTATTTTATTCTATCTATTTTGGGACATATTTCCTCACCATACTTCTACTTAATCCTCCAAATATGTCATAAGACAGTAGCTAATTTACAGTCTGGGACAAAAGTAGTCACTTCCCATGAATTGCTACTATTCTTTATGATATAGAACTAATATTTTGAGTGTATGCATATGACAATAAATTATGATCGCAAGCACCATCAATTCGCCCTCCATCGGTTCATATTTACTGGAGTTATGGATTCACACAGCTTCTTTCCCTTGTGAAAAACATATTCAGCGAAAATATGTACACAAAAAGTTTTTGTTCGTTGTTTTGCTATTTCATAAGTTTTACTACGCTTTTCTTCTAGCGCTAAAGGTAGTCTCAAATTTCTATTTTAATATCTAGTCAAGATCTTAATAATTAACATACTCTGAAATAGTGAACTCATGTCGTAGCACTAACTTGACTTTATTCAATGTTGCGGATGTAAAACTTTCAAAACAAATTTGTCGTTTCATCGGAACTTTCTAGTAAAATTTTTAAATGAATTAATCATGGTCATCATGAAAAAGACGCAGGTTACTAAAAGCCGACATATGCACTTCAGCACATATTTTTCATGAGAAAAGAAAATATATCAGCTATTTTAAAGTGATTTCTAATGAAATTAGGACTAGAAATAGCTACCACATTGTCCTTTCGAATGAAGAATTTGACAAAGATATTTCTGACAATATGATTGAGAGAAAGTGACGTCGAAATAATAACTCCAATACATGTGAACAGATCGAGGGCGGATCACTGCTTGCGATCAAAACTTATTGTCGCACGCATGCACTCAAAAACTAAGTTCAATATCATAAAGAATAGTAACACTTTCTAGAAGTAGCTAGTTTTGTCCAGTACTGTATTATTATGAGACATTATTAATATATGATCGGTAATTGTATATTAACAACACCTGCCACTGTCTGTGATGAGCCGTTCCCCACGTATCTATTATGTATGTAGGGGACACATTGTGCATTTTTTGTATGGCAAACGAACATGTGATTATCTTGCTGGGAAATGGATTGATTTGCTCAGAAATCATTAGATATGACACAGAAAAGCATTTTTAAGCAAAAATAAAGTTTTTTGGGCGAAAAATGTGTGAGGGTATCCTTGCTCTCATCTTTTTCATGAAAATATTTTTCTTCAAAATTGTTTTGTGCCATATATCCTTCGACGCAGTTTAATGCATCGACTCCGAATATACTATTTTTTGTCAATTAAATATTTTTCCAAAGTCAAAAAAAACTGAGAAAAAAATCTAGGTTTTCTGAAAATCTACTGTACAATCCGGGAATGTTTGCGCTAACGGAGATTATAGACAGTAGACAGAAGAATATTCTGAAAAAACCTGGAAGTTGGATTTTTCATTTTACAGAACTAGTCGTTCGGATGACACTAGAAAAAAAAACATTATTTTTTTCTCTAGAAGTTAAACGCGTAAATTAAAAAATATGTTTTTTAACCATTGTATAGAGCTTGGCTTGAAGACTCTGAACCGGTTTTTCAGTTTCTTTGAGAATTGTAACAAAGTTATTTATACCATTAGGTAGGCTATATTTCGAAGTATATTTCCCTATATATAAATTTTGAAAAAGTGCAATTTTCATCTTTAGTCAAATGTCTGCCTAGATGTGCACTGTGGAGAAGTAAATTCCTATCTCTATACTTCAACATTCCTTTTACATCGTGTTTTACAAAATTATCTATAATAATTTACCCAATCTAAATCTAATCCATCAAATTTATTATCTCGTAAAAATTTTATACTATTATTGACAAAAGTTTTTCTAAATGGAAAAAAAAAAGGAATTTTCTATTTTAATAAAATAAACAGCAATCATACATATTAGCATCATTTTTTGATACATCATTAAATCCACGTGATGCATGTGTCCATCCTCCAACACTCAATAAAACACGTAGATCAGGATTGATTTCTTTAAGTGTTAATAAACGTTCATACATGCCTTTTGAATTTAGAGTCCATCCTTTTAAATCATCTTCTTCATATGGTGCTAATATTAAACTTTCGAGTACTTTACCAAAGGCAAAATTAATATGTGTACATAAAAATGGATCAATATCTTCGGGAATTAAACGACTTATATTATCAGTTCGTTTAGCTGCCCAATTAGCAAAATAACAACTAAATTAAAAGAATTTTCAATAAACAATCATAATTGATATAGACTTACACACGTCGATATACAAATTTTGATTGTGATGTATCATTTTGACAATTTGCTTGAACTAAAATAAAAATAAATTCGTTTTTGTTGTTATTTTGTATTTATGAATCATTACCTTGATTAACTATTATCCATATAATCATGATCAAAGAAGTTAAAATACTTGTCATCATTGTACATCCAATAAACAATGACAATCAAAACTTTTACCTTGTTGATGTTCATCATTCTTTTGTTAAAATCAAACAATTTATTCTAATCTCTATTGGTAAATAAATACAAATGAATGTGTGTATGTGTGTGTGTGATGTTTGCAAACAAATGATTGATAACATCCAATGTGAAAACAATAAATGTATGATGTGAAGTCTTGACAGACAGAAAAAAATAATTTATTTTGATCATCAATTTGAAACATTAAAAATCGAAAAAACAAGTCGAATTACAAAAGGTGAAAGACGTACAATAGCTGCACATTCAAAAATTCCAAATAAAACTCCAGCTAAAACATCTGATATATAATGACGTCCTAATAAAATACGTGATGCAACTACAAAACTTAACCAACTTATAATAACTAAACCTGGAATTTGTTGAAAAAAAGAAGTTTTTATAAAATAAAAAAGTAGAAACACAGCTCGAGATGTATGACCACTTGGAAAAGAAAATTTATCTGGTCCTATTGAAAGAACATCATCATGATTAATCATTGGTCTTGGACGACGTACAAACCATTTGGTTGTACCAATAACAGCAATATCAAACATAAGTCCAGTAAATAGTAAAATATAACGCATAGCTTCAGTTATTAATGGATAATTAATTGCAATCATAATAATTGAATAAGGAATCCATACATAACCGGAACCAGAAAATTCTAAAACAATAATAAATTTTCTTAAATAAAGATATGGAGATGTCAATCGACCACATAAAGCCCATTGAATTGATAAATCATGATCATATGTATTCAATGTTTTTAACATCTGAAAGATTTTTTTTTAATAATGTATTCTATATATTGATTAAGAATTTCTTTTTTTTTTTTTTTGAATTATAAACCCAATAGTAAAGACATACACTTAATTTAACAAAAAGCAATAAAAAGATAAGAAATAAGATAGATTTTTCACTCATATTATGGAAGCACGAGATTTTTTGATTTCTTTTTTTTTTGTGTTGTGTGCATTAAAATAAATATTATTTAAGATAGATATCTAGCGAATAAGAAAGAAATGTAATATCAAACATTTTTATCACTATCTTCTTTTGTTATTGTTTGCGATAATGGTGAAGATATTACAGCAGTCGTACAATTAACAGTTGTTGTTGGTAAATTATTACTTATACAACACGGTGTTGAACAACGTGATGATAAAAAATTTTGATTTTGACCATTTGTAGCTGCAAAATCACAATGATCAAGCATTTTGAGTAAATCAGCTGGTGATGGGCCGCCATTATGATGTTGAGACGATGAAGATGATAATGAAAGAGAATTTAAATCTGAACTTGAACTAAGTTCAATAGCAGTTGTTAAATCAAACAATTGAATAGAACCTATTATGAAAAATAAATTCATTCTTTTTTTTTTTTTTGGTTTTGTCTTTTAAGTTATTTAAACAAACCGTTGTCATGACCAGTAAAAATAAACCGACGAGGACGCGTACTTAATCTTGATGGTCCTTCACATTCATGTATTGTAAAACAACTAATCGGAGAACTATCTACAGATCGAACAATAGCGACTCGTCTCCCTATAAACAAAAAAAGATATTAGTTTTATTTCTGTATTATAACATTTGCTTTTAAGTGCATCGAAAAAATTTTTCATCGAATTTTGATTCACGAATGGTGCTAACAATTCGTTGTGAAACACAATCTAAAAGGAGTGTTCACAGTATAGAAGTAGAAATTTACTTCCTGCTTAGACGTGACGCAGATATTTTAGGATTACCGTTGTGTTCTCATGGTCTATGATAGACGTAATCGTGAGACCAAACCCTATTGCGAAGGATTATCTGAAGTTCGTCAATAGGACTTTCACCATTGACGAACGTCCACTGGACTCGCACCAATGAACGTTCCCTGTACTTTGGCCGATTTGCCAAAATCCACTAATCTCACGAATCCAAGCGTCTCTTTGATAAAGGATATAGAGTAGAAATTCGCACCTTCCCTCAAACTCTTCTCCACAGACCGTGACAAACGTTATTCATATACGATCATAAATTGTATATCAACAATATATTATTATAATCAATGAACTAATTTCTTATTGTATTTTTGAAATATGAAATACAAGAACAGTAAAGAAATTTGTCCCAAAATGGTTGGGATAAAACAATATCTCTGCTATTAGCAATAATAAACACATCGTGTTTCATATTTTAATACCATAGAAATTGCGCTAACAGCTTTTTTTCTTACTCTTGATTCGTATGCCATCTATTCTCTTCTCTGTCTTCTTTATTCAAGTATTTTTTAACTCAAAGTTGATTTGACCATATCCGAACACACTCTGGTACCATCAATAAATTACACTTCAATAGCATTGGGCATAGTTCTCACATGTACATTGCATTCATACTGCTCTACGACAGTTGATGAAAATCTTATTAGCGAAGAGTGGGAGTCGATTACAATTATCATTTTTACCAGTAAGTTAAAATTCATAAATTGAAATCTATAGTGATGAATCCTTTCTTGTACAATGTCAATAGTCCTATTGTATTTTACATTTTAAACCAGTAGAGGGTTCTACTAACAACTTCTCTATTTACAATTATCTATTCATTTCAAAATAGATATTATATTATAGAAAAACTTTTGTCTAAGAATATAAATATACCTGTTGAACAGAATCTGACATAAATTTGATTTGTTTCAAATGGCACTACTTTTTGAACAAAAACTTGTTGATCATCACGATCACCATATGGTCCTAAATTAATCAATACTTTCTTTTCATTCTATTTTTTCATGTATAATTCTTACCAATATCCTAAAAAACAATGAAAGAAAATGAATGAAAAAAAAAACAGGAAAAACGACAATCTTACATTGCCAGAAGTATAACTAGCTATTGATCGAGCTGGTTCAATAGATACAACACGATAGGAAGCAAGAGGTGTTGATCCTACAAAATATTGATTTTTATGAAAATTTATCAAATTAAAATATATAACCTGGTTGTGTTGAAATCATGCCACGAAAACGAGTAACATTCCATGTACGAACATGATTATTCGAAGCACATACACTAAACATTATATCAAAAATTTATTATAATCAATATCAAATAATTTTACCTAATTAAATGTCGCTCCGAAAGCATAATCTAGAAAATAAATAAATGAAACAAATAAATTGAATAATTTGATTTTCATTGATATAAACCTTTGTTACTGGACTACGATGTACACAAAATGTTTGAAAAAGTTGAGGACTAGACAAAATCGGATATCAAAATTTATATTATAAGATGTTTGAAAATTCATTACCCATGACCAACAGTTTCGGGATGTTGTACAACAATCCTTATAATACCAGAATTTGTGCCATAGGCAATTTCAATCCTATAAAAATACAATTTAATTTGTTTTTTTTTTATTTTGTCTTACCAATTGCCTGTAACACTTGTCTTTGGTGTTAAATAAACACTTAATGCTGTAATTGATTCACCAGCTGGATCTCTAAAAAAGAAAATTTTTAATTATATAATAAAAAAATTTTAAAAATTTTTACTTAAATATTTCTGTAATTAATAAATCATTATCTTTCATTCTCAATGGAAATTTTTGCATATCAAAATAATAAATTGATCCTGTTTCACTTCCAAGTAATAGAAATGTTCCAGCCTAAAATTGAAATTATTTTTTTTTCTTTTCTAATGAATAAAAAATTGGAAAAATAAAAATTCATACAGTATCAAAACTTAATATTCGTGTTAATTCTTGTGTTTGCCATTGTTGTGAAATTGAATGCCATACACCAACTTTTCTTTCATCACCTGTTGCTACTAATTGTGAATTAATAAAAAATAAATTATCAATTGGTCCACCAAATGCAAATGTTCCAAGAATAGTATGAATTGATGCATCAACTATATTCCAAAGGCGAACATTTGTTCGTACAGCAATAGCAAGAAGTTTTGATTCTCGAAGATTTGATGTTGATTCTTGACTTTGTTGACTAGCTGATGATGATGATGAACGAGCTGTTATAGCTAAACGATAAATATCATCAGATTGAACTTCAGATTCAAACATTATTTGCCATCCACTTGTATCTTTCATTTTATAACACATAACAACTAGAAAAACAAAAATTTATTTAAAATTATTAATAAAAATTATTTTGAACCATTATTTGAATAAGCAGCACTAATCCAATTATGATGTCCAGCAAGAAGAATAACACTTGCTGTTGGTGAATTTTGTGCTGGAGGATGATGATCAATAAATGCAGCTGGTTTTTGACGAAAATGTGATGATGATGTATTTGATTGATGTGTTGCCCAAAGAACTGAATCAGTTGATGATGCACGTGAATGTCCACGACTGACACTTGGTGCTGATGGACCCACAGAAACAAAGTCAGTCGATGAAGTTCTTTAATATAAAAGAAAAAAAACCAATGCTCCATAAAGAAGGTTTCAATAAGAGATATGCCGACTAAGCTTTTTTGTATCCTATACTTTGACTGAGAGGAATTTTCTAATCTTTACCCTACTCTACCCTGCACATCTCTAATTTCAATCAGCTTTTTATGAGCAATAGAAACAACAGAATATTATAATGAATAGAGATTAAATTTTAAATTCTTTGCTTTATGCATATCTTCATAAGGAGCAATAACGGGCATTGATTCATGTTTTTTTTCTCCTAGAAAGACTTTCACAACAAAACTGAGTAGTATATAAAAATCGTTTTGAGTTTTTATTAATTAATCTGAAATTGTGGCATATGTTTTAGTTAATCTTATTCCATTGAAATATTCTCCATCTTAATTTACATAGTATTTGCATACATTTATCATGAAAATTCAATATGATCAATTAAGAATTTTTGTATTTTGTTTTATTTATTTCTCATACCTAAAATCTCCTATTTGTGATGCACTACGATTTAATGTTTGTTGCATGATATTATTCAATCTTAGAGCAGTTCCAGGTCGAACTGAATTTGCTGGTTGAGATATTACTGGTTGACAAACAATTGGCTGAGCTGGTAATAATTGTGTTGATTCATATGAGATTTGTGTATTTGTTGAATGTGGAGGATTAATATAACCATTAAAAAGAACATCACCACATTGACTATGTTCAAGATCTTCACAAAGTTGTAAACGACGAATTAATGGTTGTACACCATAAAATTCACATTCATGTTTTAACATATGAAGATCACAACCATTGATATCTATGTAATAAAAAAAAAAAGATCAAAAGAATATAAAGAGTATTCTAGAAAGTTTGAAACGATTTTTTCAAATTCATCGTTCTTGTATTCAACAAAAAACAAATTTTTTATAATATTGTATCTACTTACGAAAGAAAGATTCTAATTGTCAAATTTTTCTTGCATTAGAACTACGTATATCATGTAGATCCTCACGAGCTATGAATACCTTGAAAAAATTCGGACTCATAGCTTATTACTACTGAGATGTTGTAGTTTTACGGTATTGTTTTGGTATTATGACGTGTCCTCACCCTTCAGAAATACTAGAAAAACTGAGTTTCGACTTTCAACTCGAAACTCTTTACAGAGTCAGGTCTTAACAAGAATAGTTTATTGTGAAAGTCTCAGCTCATTTTGATTTTCCTATGATAAAAACACGCTTTTTACGTCGCACATATATACTGACAGATTTCGATATTCTTATTTCAGAATATAAGCAAGCAAAATAATCTGAAACTTTTAAGTCTTAGGTCGACAGATTTTACTATGGATGACAGATTGTAACAGCATTGTCATATAATATGCTATTCATTTTGGAATAACTTCAACAGAGAAAATCCCTGATGTATAGTTAAAACTCATCAGACCACAAGACAACGATCATCAATAGAAAATATATTTTATCTGATGATAAATATGCAAAAATTCACTCGAATTATTGTAGCAAAAAGAAAAATGGCAGCTAAAGATTTAGGTCATTTGTAGAATATAATTTTTTCAAGATCCTAAATAAAGGATGTAGATGCTTTTGAATACCATTGAACATGCTTTTATTAATCGAAATAAACCAAAAAATTGTGCTATAAAACTAGTCAATATATCATCTCTAGAAAATAGTTGGAATTCATTAGAAGTAAAATGACGAAAGCGAGAATACAGCTGTATCGATTATAATGCTAATCAAATATACCAACATTGATAATTTGATATGAAGTTTCATAGTATTTTGAAAATGTTTTCATATAAAAATATTAACTATGAACATCGGAATATTTGCTGAAATAATACATAATATTTTTTGATATAATTTCTCATTCGTACTACAAACTATCGACTTAAAACTTTGCAAATTATTTAATATTAAATAGATACAATACATCTATCAAACTTGCAAAAAATTTGTCTAATATCGTTTAAAAGCTTCTATAAAAACCAATTTATTATTTACCAAGTTCTTTTGTTCTTAAATAATTTAGAATGATTGAAAATAATTTTGGATCACGATCAATAAATATATAACCTTGTTCATCACGATTTGTTGATATTAATCCACTAAGCATAGCAGTAAAAAATGAATCTGATATCCATGTTAATGTTTGTCGACTAGTTGAAAAACGTTGACCACCAACATTTAAATTAATTATATCTGCTGATTGATGTGGCATGTTTTTTTTTAATTAAAACATCTGGAAAAAAAAAATGTATATATATAAAAAAGAAAGAAAAAAAATAAATAAATTTTGTTCTTTAGAAATTATTAATTAATGATAACCATTGTTCATTCGCTTCGGAATATTCATTATTATCATTTTCTTTTATACGAAATTGAAATTCTTGACGACCTAATAAAATATTTCGATCATTTAACCATGAAAATAATCCAGTACCAGCAAATTCTGCTAACGGATTTATTTCACAAATAAAGATTTGATAATTATTATATTCATTTTCAATTAAAATTAAATCTAATATAAAATTTTCATAAGGAATTCGTTCAAGTATATGTTCATTTTGAAAAAAATCTTTAATAGATTTTAATATAAAATCTTTTTTTTTAAATAAATTCTTATCAAATATATATTCATTATATTGTGTTAATGCTGTTAATTGATGTTTATATATAAATGCACGAAATTCACTTTTTAAATTTCGACGATCAATTATAAATTGACGAATTATTAAATTCAATGATAAACCTGATATTAGATCATCTTGAATGCGTTCACTAGCAAGTAGAAGTTGTATTGCATGAAAACCATTATTTACAGCTAACAAACGGATTGATGTTTCATCAAGTGCAATTAAACGTCGATTACGTTCTAGAATAAATAGAATGATAAGTATATAAAATACAGAAAAACTAAACCGGATGTATCATCAGGTTCCATTTCATTTAATACTTTTTGAAAAAGTCGTTTAAATTTCTCTTTATTCAATAATAAAATTGCATCTTTTGGACTTCTTGTCGATAAACGTACAAATATTGGACGTTGAATATCACATGTATCAATTGCATTTGATAATTTAAACAATTGTGGATACTGTTGAAAACATTCTTCAGTTTTTTTATCATCATCATCTAATGAAGAATTTTTAAACAGTAAATGTCCATTATGCAATGCTCTTATGTCATCTTCATTCATTGATAAAATAGCTGATGGAAATGTCCATTGTTTAATAATATCATAATAATATTCAAATTGTGTTTCATTCATCATTTTCCTATATGTATCACTATCAGGACATAAAAGTTGTTCATTAATTTTTTCTTTTGGTTGTTGTATTGAGCGCAATCGTGCTGATTTTAATTGATCAGCAAATGACATATTTATCTAAAAAAAATTTGATATAACTAGACAAGAATTTGTTCCACCAAAACCAAATGAATTTTTCAATGCAATACGTTTTTTATTATTCCATGATAATGATTTATCATCAGAAATAATATTTAATAATGATGAATCTTCGGATTCATCACTATTACTTTTATAATTTAATGTTGAAGGACATATAGCATGATAACAAGCAAGAACAGTAAATATAGATTCAAGAGAACCAGCACCACCAAGTAAATGACCTGTATGACCTTTATTACTCGAAATTAAAACATTTGAATTACTTGATTGAAATAATTGTGTAATGGCTTGTCGTTCAATACGATCACCGATTGGAGTTCTACAAGATTATGATAGATTAAAATGAGAGGAAGTCCTTAAACAATATAACGAAACTCTCTGAAAATTAAGTTTCATATTTTCTCCATAATCAATTCGAATGTTAGAAGTGAATTGCCGTTCGAACTAATCATTTAATCGTCGTTCCGGATAACTTGAGACTCGATATTATCTATCCTCTATAGAGTCGTGGTATGCAGCGTTCATTTGAAAAGCTTTTCTTCCACTATCGAATACCATATAGGAATATGACACAATATTTTTTCTCTAGATGGCATTGTGCACTCGTATATAAAGTATAAGAGTGTCCATAACAAAATTTTTCTCCTATGATGCTATTAAAAGGAACGATCTACTTTGAATTACATACTATTCGATAATCATTTTGAAGTTCTGTAAAATATTTTCTATAACACTGAGCTTAATCTGTGGATGAGACACTTCACTCAGTGCTGGAAAACGCCAAAAATTACTCTTTTTAACTTATTTTTGATCTGAATAATTAGACCTTTCATCAAAACAAAGGATCTATTTGAAATCAACATACACAATTGAGTTAATTATATACGTTTAAAAATGATCCATCAACTTTCATTTTCTTTCAATTATTAAGCCCATGGTCCCTCGTCAGTGGTATATCAAAAAATAAATTCAATCGAAATGTCAATCTAATTATGAAAATCCAGTTATAAACTTTTAAAAAGCTAGGAAAATCCGACATGACAAATGGCCAAATACTAAAAACGAAGTTTTGATTGAATTTACTTTTTGACGTATTCCTAAGGGAGACTAGGATTGAAATTTTGGAGGAAAATGAAAGTTGATGAATCATTTTGTGATATACATAGATCGGCTCAGTTTTTTATGCTGTTTTCAAATATATCATTTGTTTTGATAGAAAGTCCAACTATTCAGGCTAAAAATGAGTCAAAAAGAGCAATTTTTGGCGCACGCTTGAATGAAATTGTCTTGGCCACAAATTAAGTTCGGTATTATAGCAATATTTCACAGAGCTTTAAAAGGGGTATAGAATAGTGTGTCATTCAAAGTGGATCGCTGCTTTCATAGCATCATAGAAGAGGAATTTTGTCATGGGTACTCTTATACTCTATATACAAATGAGCAATTCCATCTAAATGAAAAAGAAAAAAAAGAATATTGTGTCATATTCTTATATGCCATTCGATAGCAGACGGAAAAATTGTCACATGAACACTGCATACCAAGACTCTGTAGAAGATAGATAATATCGAGATTTAAGTCAATCATGCACAGTCAGAATGAGGATTAACTGATTAATTCGAACGACAATTCACTCCTGACATCTAAATTGACTATTGAGAAAAATATGAAACTTAATTTCGAGAGAAGACCAATTTTATATTTTAACGACTCTCCTCTTTTGTATTATTTGATTTCAATTAAACTAAATGATGTCTAATACGTACGATGTAGCATGCGCATTTACATAACCAATATCTTTCGTATTCAAACGAGCATTATCTAATGCATTTTTCATACAATTCAATGCTCCTAATCCACTTGGATTTGTAATATGACTTGCATCTGAACTTAAACCATAACCAAGTATTTCACCGAAAATTTTCGCTCCTCGTTTTTCAGCATATTCAAGTCGTTCCAATACAAGAATAGCAGCTCCTTCACCCATAACAAAACCATCTCGTTGTCGACTAAAATTTACAAATTAAAAATTAATAAATCTATTATAGAAATAGAAAATTATTTACTCAAATGGACGTGATGCAAGTTTAGGTTGATCATTAAATGATGTTGAAAGAGCACGCATTCGTGCAAAACCTGATATTGTTATTGGATTAATTGTTGCTTCTGTAGAACCACATATCATAGCATCAGCATGACCAAGATGAATCATATTATAACCATCGCCAATAGCTTGAACACCAGCTGCACAAGCTGAACTATTACAAAGCTAAATAAAAACAAAAATAGTTTATTAACTTTATAAAATATTCGAACCTAATCAAGTACATTAGGTCCTTGTAATTTATGTCGAATTGATATATGACCAGCTGATGAATTAGGTAAAATTTGTGTTATATAAAATGGACTCATTCCACGATATATTCCTTTTGTTTTCATTTGTTCCCATATATTACATGTATTTGTTAGACCAGCTATACCATTACCAATTGAGACACCAATTCGTGTTCGATCATTATCTGCTGAAAGTATCTATTAATTAATTGAATATTTTTATATACAAAAAGAAAATAAACAAAAATATAGTTACTTGACTTTGTTCAATTGCTTCTTGAGCAGCAACAAGTGCAAATACACTTGCTAATGACATAGATTTTAAATCAGACATTCGTGTAAAATATTTCGAAAAATTAAGTGAACCATCTTGATTTTGATTTTCTGAACTTATTGGTACACGACCAGCAATTCGACATGGAATACCAGCATATTCTTTTTCATCAAGTGAAACAATACCTGAATAATTTTTTAATAAACGATGCCAATTTAATTCTACACCAACACCTAATGGTGATACAATACCAAGACCAGTAATAACAACACGACTAATACTCATTTATTTATCTAAAATTTATTAAAAAGTAAAAGAAAAGAAAAGAAAAAGAAAAATATTCATTTTATTATAAATATCTGACTAATTATTTCAAAAAATATTAGTAGGATGATCGCACCAAGGTGTTAGATTATAATCACATTCAATTTTAACATCTAACATAATATATTCAATTCCCTGATTAGTCTTTTTCATTTCTTTATTAATTATTTCATACTTTGTTGTATTAAAACCTAATTCAGGATAAATTTTTCTTCCTTCTTCTTTTTGTTTTCCATATTTTGCATAATCTCGTTTATGTATACTATTATCATGAATATGTTGAAATGTATTAGTATTATTTGTAGATAAATTACTTGGACGATATATTTTCATTCCAGTACGTTTTATTCTCACATAAAAATTATCATCTTCTCTACCCCATCCCCAATATAATGGTGACATACCATTAACACGTTCAAAATCTTTACAAGTTATAATCAATATTCCACCAACATAACTTGGATAATGATAAATTGGATGATATTCTGGTGATGCTAAATGTATTGGACCATACTTTGGATAAATATATGGTAATCCTTTATGATTTAATGGAAGTAGATCAATATCGTGCATAACAATATAATCAACAAATGTTCGAGATTCAATAAAACCAATATTAATTAGAGCAGCACGATTAAATCGATGTTTATCAACTTGATTTACAATCATAAAAATATGATCAACAGATTGAGAATTAAGAAATGAATTCATATGAGGTAAAAAAATTTCTAATTCATTTGAACGATTACGATATGGAACAATAACAGCTAAACGATGTATTAATCGAGATTTCGTTTCATTTGTTTCTAATTTTGATAAATACCATAGAGAAATTAAAAAAAATAAAATAAAATAAATTATACATAGTCGAATTAATACACGAATTTTGAACATATCAAATCATTCAAAAAAAAAACAAATTTTTTCCAGAGCATAATCAAAGAGAAATATATCAAACGAACGAATAGAATTCACTTATAAACCTTTATCGAGATTTTTAATTACTGCCATCTATTTATAAACTATTAATTTATTGAATTTAAGTCATTTTTTATTGTATTTTCATTTAATTTATAAAAATAAATACAAAAGAAAAACACATTCTATTTTTTGTTTGACAGCAGCAATCAATGAATCATTTTATTTGCATCTAATCCTTATTATTATTATTGCATACATACGCACATCTTTTCTTCTTTAGCAAACAAAATATGCAATGACTAAGTTTTTTCTTCTGCTCCTTTTTTTTGTTTTGTTTTTAGACTATTAATTAAAACAATGTCCGAAGAAGAAATAGGAAAAATTAATCGAAAATTACAAAAAATGATTGATAAATCAGAAGTTGTATGTTTTTTTAGAAATTTATTTTTTCATTTCATTTCATTTATTCTATTTAGGACGAAACAATTGCACGAGATTTACTTAACCGTTTACAAGAATCACGTATTACACTGAGTATACTTCAAAAAACTGGAATTGGAAAAACTGTTAATAATTTACGACGAGTTATTGCTAATGAAGATTTATCAACAGTTGCTAAAAGCCTTTTAAAAAATTGGAAAAAACTTGTACCCGGTTTGTTTTCTTTCGATAAAAAATAAATAAATTTATAATAATATTTTAATAGAATCAGGTACATCGGTACCAGGAAATAAAGATGATAAACAAGCAACATCAATAAATAATAATAATAACAATAATAATAATAATAGTCAACAATCTCAAGAAACTAATATTAATACTGGAAAAACCCTTGAATCAAGTAAATCAATTGAACGTCAACCTTCTCAACCAACATCAAGTTTATATACACCATCACAAACACATGATGAAATTAGGTATACAAAAAAAGAAATTAATTTTGAATGAAACATATCTATGGTTTTTTTTTTTCTTTCTATTTTAGATTAAAATCACGAGATCTTATGGCAAGTGCTTTTTCAGTTTCTGAACTTCCAGAAGGATCAGCCGATCCAGTAGAATTAGCTGCCCGTGTTGAAGATGGTATACAAAAAAAAATAACCAATGAATTTATTTTAAATTAAAATTCTTTTATTTTTAGTTATTTTTAAAGAATTAAAAGACACAGGTGTTAAATATCGTAATCGTATTCGTAGTCGAATATCAAATTTAAAAGATTTAAAAAATCCTAATCTTCGTACAAATGTTCTTCTTGGTTTTATTACACCAGAACGATTAGCCGTACTTACTGCTGAAGTTTGTTGAATTAATTTTTTTTGTTTGTTTGTTGACAATTGTTTTCTTTTATCGTTTTGTTTTTTGAAAGGAAATGGCAAGTGATGCATTAAAACAAGAACGTTCAAAATTAAATGAGAGTGCTATTAATGAACATCAACTTGCTATGGATGAAGGCACTGGTACTGATCTTATTCAATGTAAAAAGTATGATTTACGTCTTTTTTTGTTGTTTTCTTTTTTCATTGAAAACAAAAGAATATTTTAAGATGTAAACAAAATAATTGTGCCTATACTGAAGCTCAAACACGTAGCGCTGATGAACCGATGACATTATTTGTCTTTTGTAAAAATTGTGGTCATCGATGGAAGGTGAGAAATTGATCAAAAAAAAAAACAAAATAAATTTCTTTTCATGTCTTTTCTTAGATGTAAATCATGCTCACCGATAAACAAGCACCGAACCATGAGGTATATCTAATTTAAAGAAAACAAAAATTCTTATTTAATTAAAAATTCTTTTGAATTTTTAGTTTGGTTGTACATTGGTCGATTTAAAAAACAAGCACACGATTGCAATTATCATCGTATTAGATTGATTTTGTTTTCTTAAATCTCTGTTCTACTAGAATAACTTCTATTTTGTTTTCACTTTTGTGACCAGAAAAAAAGTCTCATATGTTTTTTTGTATTTCAGATTTTCTATTATTTTCTTTTTGATTAATTATAAAAATGGCCGGCGGACCTAATACTAAGTCGGCATCTCAATTGATGGCCGAAGCAAATAAAAAAGCTAAATCAGCAAATGGATTTTTTCAACGTATGCTTGGTGCTGGTAGTAGTGCAGGTGAAGATGCTCGTGCACTATATGTTCAAGCTGGTAATGCTGGTAAAGCTGAAGGTGATTATCCAACATCTGTTGAAGCTTATAAACGAGCATTAGATTTAAGTGCTGAAGATTTTGAAAAAGCTCAAATGTATGAAGCCATTGCATCATCATATAAAATGTTTGATTTACCACAAGCCGTACCAGCATTAACACGTGCTGCTGAATTACATATGTCACAAGGTAAATGGACAATGGCATCTCAAACATTAGAAAAAGTTGCAGAATTATATGAACAAATGAATGATCTTCCAAATATGATGAGATGTTTAAAAGAAGCTCACCGATTTTTAAAACAAGAAGGACAAAAAGCAGGCGCAAATCGAGTACAAAAGAAAATGGCTGAAATACTTGCACTTCAGCATGAATTTATGCAAGCACAACAACAATATGAAGAAATGGCCGATAAAACAAAAGATGATGCAATGCTCAAATATGGTGCAAAAGATTTTTGGTTAAGGTAATCTATAAGCCTTATTCATGATTCGCTAGTTGACCACAAACATGTATAGAAAGGGATCGCATACTAGCTCATGTATTGCTAAGAGCCGTCTTCTTTCTTTCATCTATCTTTCTCTATTTTTTAATCGCTTTGGTGGTATATGAGAGCAAAGTGATTGAAAAAAGAACTCAGGTGAATGAGATACTACCTGAAAACTCCGGAAAATGATAGAAACTTAGAAGTAGAAATCTAGTGATGGAATATCCCGATCGGATTTATCCAGTTCCGGGTACAGTCGGCAATCAAATACAATCACCGGATTCCTGCTTTCAACTTCCTATTATTTTCCGTCCGCCAATGGCGTGTTTCCTGTGGGTTCTCTCAGGAAATACATGGATTTGAGCGCTGGAATTATTAACCTGAGAGAGAAAGACCTATGAAAGACAAGAGACTGTCTTGATTTTTCTTGAAATTTTTCTTTTTATACTTAATTATCTCTATAGAGCTACAATGTGTGCATTATGTATTGATGTTGAAAATGCAAATACGGCACTTAGTCGTTATTTAAACGATAATCCATTATTTGAAGAACGATCACTTGAAGTTAAATTGCTTCGTCAATTAATTGCTGCTGTTGAAGAACAAAATAAAGAATTATTTTTAAAACATATTGATGATACACCATTATCAACATTACGTGCTGATCGTATATTTCGTTCATTAACCGAAGATATTGCCAAAAAAATTGGTGGTGATGTTGATCTTAAATAGATCAATAAGAAATCTAAAAACAAAAAGTATTCTTTTTAATAGATTTTCTATAAGCTTGTGTGTGTGCAATAGAAACTAAAAATATAAGACATTTCTTTATTACTGTCGTTTATTTATTTAATTTTTGTTTGTTTTTCTTTGTTTTGTTTTTGTGTGTATAAAGACCAGCACGGAAATTGAAGAACCATTCCACGTTTTGTTTCGTCTTGAGCGTGTATTGTTCTCTTTTGTCTGGTTTATCATGTGTTGATTTATCAGTCATATCCTTTTTTTTTCTATTGAATAAATCATTGAGATACAAAAAAAAATAATCAATTCAATGATGATTAAATCACAAAATTGACTTCGTTTTTTTTTCTTAACAAAATGATTCGAATAATAGAAAAAAAAACATAACTTGTTTGTCCATAAATATTTAAGTGTATAAAAAATAATATTGAATTTAGAAAACAACCATTTCCAGCAAACCCATCGTAAACAATGTAGAAATCATTATAATAATTACCATGAAAAGTTCAAAAAATAGAATTAGTTGCTTTGCAAATATTTGTAGCAGTTGAAAAATAATACGGCAAAGGCAGATGTTAACAGAAGGCATACGAATTATTCAATGATCTTAAAACTCCAATATCTTTTGTGTCGCCAAGATTCTAGAAACTCAAGTTTTTATATTCTTTCCTAAGGAAAAATTAGCGTTTAGACACAAGCGAATATATCCTTAATGAAATGAATCTCAAATTTGCTGATATAAAATTGTATCATATCTTATTTGTACAAATATCAATTTTAAAACAATAAAATGCAAGAGAACCATTACAATACTATTTAACGCTGAAGTATGATGCATCCTCATATTGTTCTTTTCTTTTTTTTCAATTAACTTCCATTCGAAAGAGTACGGCTGAAGTATTGGCGGATTTTATTCAAACATATTAATCATCGTTGATGGAAATCAGTGTAAAATAAGTCAAAATATTGAATATAATCAATATCTGCGGTTTGCACTGATCTAATCATAGAATTAGTGCTAAACTTATTTTTTGAACAGATGATAATTAGAACTTTGACAATGAATCATAATTAATGGGATAGCTTTGAAAATCCAAATGGTGTTCTACAGGGTTGATAAAAATATTTTTCTACGGGTAATGCTGTGATTTTAAATAACATCAACAACAAATATTATATCAATTTAAAGTGTAGCGAAAGTGGGATTTATCAATACCAATAGTAAGAATTATGGCAACTTTTCAGTGTCGAATTCAGGAAGATCCTAAAATTTTACACCATATCAGCAGAGAAAAATGCTTTTCATGAGACATTTAAAACTTGATCACATTTAAAATGATGAATATCACAAAGTACTGGGGTAACTGACCTGGAAGTATTAGACAAAATGCTCAAAAATGTAGTATCAATTATGCAATCGAAGTTCTGATGTAGATCTGTTTAAGGGTGTGGGTGTGGGGTGGTGGGTGGGTGTGGGGTGGTGGGTGGGTGTGAGTGTGAATATGGGTATTAATCTCACACCCACACACCCATACCCACATCCACACCTAGGAAATAATAACTGAATTAAAAAATTTATTAAATACACATAGTGGTTCTGCACAAGATAGACGTCGTGTCGATGCAATACGTTTCAATGGTTCATCGATAGTTGATTGTAATAAACATATTAAAAAGCGCTTAATGAAAAAATACTCAAAAATCGATAAAATATTAAGTTCTACTGTTCGTCGTTATTTTTTACCACCAAAAAATAATATTCAAAGTAGTAAATTTTACAAAAGTCGTATATTAGCAAGAATTCAACAAAAATGTAATTCACAATCAATAAAAGAACATAGTGATTTTCATTTTATATGTGCACAAGTCAATTACGTCGAAGAATTCTCCAGTTTATACAGCGGCGAAATATTAGCACTATCTTGTGATAATAAAGCGCAAATACTATTAGGTAAGCACATTTAAAAAGAATGATCTATGCTGAATCTCTTCGCTTCAAAAATTTTCTTGGACGTGATGTCTTTCTATTTTCCTCTTTTGGCTCTTCTTCAGATTGACGACACCGTATACACTAATTGGTCTAATAGGCAGAGCACATCAAAGAGTGATGATGAGGGCATCAAAAAGTGTGGATGCCACGGAGTCGCTGATCAGAAGAAGTAACCCTTTTCCTCCTTTCTTGCTTTCTCTGTTCTTCACATTATAACAGAGCTAGCGCACGCAAAGAGATAAACCTCGAAATATGTCTTTTTAGGTGCACCAGCCGTCAGTCGGTATGTACGGAGTAGAAAATTTCATCTAGTAGAAAATCAGCCAAATTTACTTGATCATGATTTTCCAAGATGTGATATTAGAATCAATCCATCTGCATATGTTGTATTATCAGATCAACGGAAATGATCATATAGCGTTGATAGTCATCCCTCATGTCAATTAAAGATCAAGAAAAGATCAAGATCATGTGATACTCAATTATTTCCAGATATAAAACAACATAGTATTCTGGTCAACCAACTGTTTTATTCACTTCAGAGTCAAAAACTAATAACTAATAAGTCTTTTATTCTTTGTTCATTAAATGACCGATACAAGAACTCTTGAATATGTTATATAGAGTAGAACAGGACAATTATTTGTTCGTCCATTTGGTTCTGGGACCGATCAATCAACAAAAGCAATGAGTGAAGCTCATATAAATAATTTACAATAGATAACAACAGAAAATAATATGTTACTTCAAAAAAGTGTTATTACAATCATATCTGATAATGGTTCGGATTGGGGTACCGATTGTATGGCGAACATTTATAACTTAGGAAGATTTCGGGAAGAACAAAAATTGGATGCATTTATCTGGATTAACTACGCTCAAGGACATAGTTGTTTTAATCCAATTGAGCGTATGTTCTCAAGATTAACTGATTTATTACAAGGTGTTATTATTGATTTGGATTCATCATTTAAAGAAACATCACAACAACTGAATATAACATTGATTGATTTATGTAAATACTGAAATAATAAAAGTTTTTGCAATTGTAAAATTGACTGTCGTCCAATGTTTTCAGTTAATAGAAATGTATTTGATGGTCATGAAAAATTGCAGGATTTATTAACGAGTAAATCACAAATACAAATATAACAAAATTCACATGTCCAATTTAGTTTACAATTTTATCTTCATCATGGTGTTCGTTCAACATATTACACGTCTTTATTAAATGCGATGACAAATATTGTGTACATTGTCCTCGTTATCCAACTCATGCTACAAAACAATGTCTTTACTTCGGGCTGGTGGTGGATACATCCCTTAGCCAACAATAGCATATAGTAATAAACATTACAATACATTTTTACAGGGTACATATTCAATATTATCCACTTAAAAAAATCTTTATCCAGATGAACATTTATTATCCGGACCAAAAGTCAAATGTTCAAAATGCAAATTGCCATACGTATTTCTATCAAAAGCAGTTGAAGATAGATATAATCAATGGATACATGTGCCAAAACCGAAATTCAAAAGATCTTAAATGCAAGTCAATAAAATCATAAAACGAAGACATTCTTTTTCATCTGAATGTTAATTAAGATGTCCACACTAAAATTTAATTATTGTAATTATTTTGATTGGTCAAGTCAAGAGAATTTCAGTAAATTTAACTTAACTATATACAGAAATACTTCTACAAAAATAAAAAATTCATTGTTTTCAGAGAAAATGAATAGTCTAGAGTTAAAGAATATTGAATAGAAAAAGAACAGTATATTTCATGTATATGTATACATACATCAAAAGAAACAACCAGTATATCACAATGTAATTAAAACAAATTCGTTATGCTGCGGCAGAACGTCAGAGCGGCCGGCCGAGCGACAAACATTTTGAAATGCTCCCTTATAATGTACAAACTCATTCTTTATTGCATTTCTGGAGGATTAAGTGCAAGGATGGTGAAGAAATGTGTCGCAAAATAATAGATAGAATAAAACAATCTGCTTGTGATCAACAAGAGCAGCTACATTGTGTTTTACATTATAATTCCATCAGAAATTGTGCTAACAGCTTTTTTGTTTAAAAGAGTCATATTAAAGTAAATTATCGTTTACATAATTTTTTTATTTCGACCATATCGTTTCTTATCTGAACCAATCATTTATAAGAAGAACCTATTCGACATTTTTTTCTGTTCTTTAATTTTTGTAAAATGTTTGAACGATGGGAAAAAAGCAATTCTAAAATTATTGATTTACAATGAATCACATTTTCCATGAATCATTAGATTTTTTCGTAATAAAAAATTTGAAGAAGTGGAAAAAATCAATCAAATGATAAAAGAAAAATTCCAAGTTAAGTTTAGTGACGAAGTAGAAAAACAAAGAAATGAATTGCATTTTGAGTAGCTTTCAAGAAAAAAATGAATATGAATAAATAAAAAAAAATGAAAATATGCTTGAATGACTAATTAAAATGGCTTATAGTATGCAGTTTGTGAAGCTTTTCTATTTACGTTTTCAGAACTTAATAATGGCAAATTCGAAATTGAATACAACACAATTATCTTTCAACGCAGAAGCTAAAATACTCACCCATTGAGAAAACACGATATCTGATCAAACAAATATGAAATGATATTCAGAAAGATAATTAACTAAATAGATGTACAAAAAGGAATTCTGAATCGATTCTGAAACAAGTACAACGAAATTACGATGATTTTCCTATCATATTTCTCAAGAAGATACAAATTCTTCTCAATAGTGTTTGTTAACCATGAGTGTCTGGAACATGATCCTATTTAACAAGCTCGAAACCATATATTTGACATTCACATAGATCAATGTAAAAAGAATTGTAGAACTTATTTCACATGTACTAAATGTATTAACTGTTGAGAGCCAATTTATTAAAATGATAATATAATTTCTATGTGACTGGAGATATTCTTATCGACACTCTCACTGAAAGTGTGTGCTAATGATTATATAGTATTGGCCAACACCCAGTGAAAATTGTCTGAAAACAACACGAATTACAAATAGCATAATTCTTTATTATGAATCAGTTAGTATTGGATACAGAAATAACATATAAAAAGTTCTAGTTCTTTACGATCGATATAAGTCATTCCAACATATTTTATTAATGATTAGTCGTAGTCTTTCCAATTTGCTCTTGAACACTGTGCACGTACATCTCGTGTACGTGCAATACGATTTGCTATCCTTGGATTACAGAAGGTGCAGCCAGTTTTCTTTGAGTTCCCAATCTTTCTTGGTGGCGACGATGATCTATTTCGATTTTTATGAACTTTATTTGTACCTGCTTTATCACGAGGATTACGAAATTGGCTGCCAGGTTTCGGTTCTAGACATGACGTCGACAATTCCCAGTTATCATTCCGTTTGTCAATGAGCTTTTCTTTCTTTTCTACAATCGGCATAACTGATCGTGTTTGATGCTGATTTTCGTTAGCGTTTTTCAGTAAGACAGCGGCATAGCTAAGTTTAGTTGTTGTATCATTATCTTGTTCGCTCATTTTTTCAACGATTGAAGATATCGTCGGTTCAATAACAAATTCATCATTATTGTCTAAGAAAACCCAATCAGCTTCGATGTCCATAACTATGAATGAAACTGTTCTAGCAACACACAGAAATGCAAAACAAGCAAAAAGTGCTATCAATGCTAAATATTTTCTGTATCAATACCTTGTAGTATTGTTTATGATTTGAGAAATTTTATTGAATGAAATATGCAATTCACATCTATCGAGAAGAAAATTTCTTTCGACTTGGTAAAAAGAGTTGTCCTGCCGATAATATGAAGTCAATTTCAGCGCTCACATTACACGTTGTCAGCGTCTCATGATTCACTTTCGTCTCATTGTGCAATAACGCACGGTGTTTAACCATACTACTAATGATCAACCAATCATATAATTGTATGTAAAAATCGAAGGATGCTTAAAAAATTCACAAACGTAAGCTCCTTACAGATAACAATAAGATTTTTGTGGAGTCGATTTTTCGAACGAAAAACAAACGTTTTGATAGTATCATACTTTCATACAAAATTCCAACTAACCAAACATATATATTTGAAAAATCGTCCAGTTTTTGCCCAAACAATTTGTAAAAGAAACTTGGATAATGTGACTCATGAGTCGCAAGAAGAAAGCAAAAATCGATACTGATTAAAGTTCATTTCAGCTCTATATGCTGTTGTCTTATAGAGAATGACTAGGCATTCTTAGCTACACAGTTCGATACACTCAAATTATCATGTAGGTTTGTTTACAAAGAAAAAAAATCCGATGTTCTATATGAAACAAGTGCAATATTATTGATTATGGTTTTTGGTTCACTTATCCGATCTGTCTCATCCAATAGGTGCACGGAATTCTTTGATTAATCATTTCTATTATGATATGATATCCCATGAACAATGATTGATGCAAGTCAAAAAACGAAAATTCAACAGAATTGTGAATGTATCGTCTTTCATCTTGAAGACCTTGGCTTTCAAGATTCCTAGAAAACTTGCTAGAACATCACGAAAAATCATTTCTAATCCAGAAATCGATACGAAGTCTGAAAGTAGAGACGTCAAGCTATTTTCATATGTGCTTATCTTAAAATCGACTTTTTAACTCGAAGTTATCATGTCTGAGTGGAATCATTGAAGAGCTATTAATTCCACTAAAAACGGTTCGTGATTACATCCTAGAGCAAAAAGTGAAATACTACGAAAGACAACGATTTTCTCTAGTGATGAACGTGCTTTTTTATCATTCAAACTCACAAACTTCTTTCATTTGTAACTATTTTAACTATTTATCTATGCATAATTTAAATCTCTTAAACCATGATAGTTGGAAACTTGACACTTTCGTCAAGTTGCAGAGCAACCATTAGTGGTTTGTTTGTCATGGGTGTGATACATGGATGGCGACATATACGTTCTTTTTAAAATTACAGTTTTTATTTCTTGTGAAAATGTGCGACATCTTCAAAGTTGGCTCATCTAGTAAAAATTTGTTTATATGCATAACATACAGCAAAATTGTGCAATACGATAAAAAAAAACGAACAGAAAGAAATGAGGAAATAGATGACGCCAAATGCGAGGCATAATGTGAAAATTTTCGAAAGAGACGAAACATCTATGGTGTTAACCAATTTCATCCATTCACACACATGGCCTCTGCAGAGACTACCACGTCGGACAGTGAAATTTGTCCGAACGAACCAGACGATATATTGAAATTAGAACAACTTTTCAATGCTGTCGAATCGAATGATATAACTATTGTGGAGAATTTTAAGAAAGATGAACTTCAACGTTTATGTCAAGTACGTCGATGTTGTACTTCTCAATAGTCGTCACCAGAAAAAGAAAACCAAACAGCTTACCAACGCGCATGTCTCCTGGGTCATACGAATATTGTGAAGTGCATGCTGAATGCCAATGTTCCCGTCAATCAAAAGTTTTCGGGTGGTAATTCGTATTTAACTATGCGCGGAGCACTCATGTTTGCTTGTCAATCACGTTCGATGTCGACAATTAGAGCTTTACTCACTGCCGATGCATCATTTAACGAACTGTGTTCATGTTCCGTCGATTATATTAACTCTTTGGCACCTGGCATTCGTGTATATAGTCCATTTGGATGTCGATCAGCTCAATGGGAGAATCTCTACCCGATTCATTTTACCATTATCGATAACAATCTCGAATTGTTACAAGAATTACTCACACTCACTACAAACAAGCTACTAACAATTGAAATGTTCACTCTGTTGCACATAGCTTGTCTCTTCAATCGATCTCTAACAATAATCGATCTGTTGCTTTCATTCGAAGATGCTAAAGTTACAATAATAGCTAAAACAAGTAACGGCAAGTTTCCTGATGAGGTTGCTACTGATCGGACAATAGTTGAATATCTTCGACCTACACGTTTGCTTGCTTACGCAGAAATGGAGAAGAAGCGTCAGAAGAGTTTTGAGCATGATTTAAAAGCTCTCGAAGAAGGTAGTGGTTTTCAAATTTCATCAAAACTCTTGCAGGTAAAACGCTGACAATCACTGTCACGAGGAAGAGTACTGTCGAGGATCTGAAGGCAGAAATTTAGGACAAGGAAGGTATTCCACCTGATCGTCAACAACTCACGCACACAGGCAAGCAGCTGGAAGATGGTCGCTTAATTATTGACTATAACATCACGAAAGATGTCACCCTTTATCTGTTACTTCGTCTGCCTGACGGACACTGTTATTGACAAGATCTTGTTACGGACTTACATAGAATCAATCAAATATTTAACTGAATTTTACACACATGTAGATGATCGCTACACAGCAAACAACAAATTTCTTTTCTAATTATATAATAACCAAGGAACGTGATTTATGTAGTTTAATGTTGATGGTGTTGGGTTCTGCCGAGATTTTTGCTGAGAACAAAGTTTCTATCCTTCCGAAATTGGTTTCGATTGGGAATTTATCTCAGATAATGCACTTTATAACACTGATTTCTTACGATTCCACAAAAATTTTGTATTCCAGCTATATAAAACAGATCCTGTTCTCCTTTCCCATTAAATAAATAAGCCATTTAAGCGCCGATGAAAAGAGCGACGGTCTAAATATTCCTCAAAGATGGACGCTTGGGCCGAATAATGTCGAGTCAAATTGCTTTTCCTTCGATGTTGACTTAGTCCTTCTAAAAGAAAAGTCATTTATCAGTCCAGAGAATTATTGATAAATAATATGCGGTTTCAATTCTTCTTTAAACTTCACTTGATTAATTTAATCGACATTCTTACCGCTAAGTTTCCTTGGTGCCTAACTCTATTTTCAAAATCGAAGCCAACAATTGTTCTATGCTGCTCTTATCTTTAAGTTTTGTGTGTGTCATAATGAAGAAAAAGATAAGAAAAATTTTCCATAATCAAAGTTCTTAGTGTGAAGAGTTTAACAGAAGGTTTTTTGCATTTTTTCACTGAATATGGAAGCGTTTTGAATTCTAGAAAGATTCGCATGAATGTTTAAATCTTTTTGCAATAATCAAGAATAAAAATTGGAAAGTATGCTTCCGAAAATTGTGAAGTTTTCGAAGGTTATAATAAATAGAAATAATTTAGTCTTTCCTTTTTTTTCTACTTGTTCTTCATATCTTCATTTTGTCCTCTTTGGATGTTATTTTGCTAACATCTTTGTTTTCTTCTCCTATTCTTTCTTTGTCATTATCTCTCACTTACTCACTAGCTTGCCACAATCAATGCTTCGAAAAATAAACTGGTCTTGATGAATTCAAATTTCCTTATTTTTAAAGAAGCTTGAAAATCCGCATACACTCAAAATCGGAAAACTTTTGCACCGAATAAGTCAATCTACATGCTAACTCTTTCATACTAGTTATTACAGTTGTCTCTTTTTAGATAACGTGTCGAAAAAACAATGAGTGACGAACCGACGCAAATCGAAGATCTACCTGATGAACTATTTTTGGACATATTCTCGTTTACCCGACCTAGAGATCTCCTTTAAGGATGGTAAAACTTGAATTCTAACATAAATGCCATTCTGGGTTCGGTACCTATCAGCATCGGAATCAAGAACAACGATGATTTCAATGATTCTCTCCATTGTCTTCAGCATTTTCGCTCACAAATTATCTACCTCAAGGATGACCGTCTCTCATCATTCATTCAAATCGATGTACGCCCTTTAATCAATATTCGATCTCTGTACTTGGTTCAATGCTCAAATGAGCAATACGAATATATTCATCCTAGGAATCAACCACATTTTACTCACTTTTATTCTTTGCCAGTACCATGATCCTTTTATGAACGGATTCTCTTCGGACAACAACGCTTTTCTCATCTCATATCAATCGGCAGTTCGAGAGGTACTTCAATTTTATTACTGAATGCGACACATTCTATAAATACAGCAATTTATCATCTTCATTTGCATTCGGCATCAAATGAAATAATCTATAAATTTATTCAATATCTTCCCTGTATTAAGTCGTTGACGATCGATTATTTATATCATAATACTTTGCTTTTTACTACATCGCTCACGAGATCTTATGTTCGTCGCCTGACTATCGTACATAATTTGTCATCTCAATTTCATTTTGAGCAGTTTCTCTTGTTTCTTGGGTTTCTCAACCTCATCCAGCTTCGTGTGACGTTCGATACTTGTGATTTTGAACAGCTAGCTCGGATTCTTACAACACTTTCGTGTCTTAAACAGTTCGATCTCAGAGCGGACACATACCCCTCAAATCTTGATTTGACCTCAATTCGTCGCATGAGCCTTGGTTTCTATCACTAGACTATGGATATGTCGTCGATAAAGATAAGCGGAAGCGAGTTCTTCTCACCACGACTACTACAAAACACTCAAACTAAAAGTGTTCTAAAACATCAAATATGTATGGATCAAAGGAAAAATCTTGAGACACGCTATTTTCATGAGAAAAACATGAAAAAAAATTCAGATATCCGATGGTATCTGCTAAAATAATCTTTTTGATTTGTTTTAGTACATCTGCTATTAGAGTCTTGATCCTTTGGAATATTCTTGTTCATGAAACACGAAGTTTCAAGGATGAAAACGATCGACTATTGACGTTCCAAATATAAAGAACTTATCAGCACAATCCTGTTAGGGTTAAAATATAAATATCTTACATTTAACTACCTTCATGCATTACTTTCAGTCTAGGATGAAGCAGATCAACGCTAGATGAAGTGTTACCTATCTTTCAGTGGACTCGGGTGTCTGTAAGAAACTTGAAGTCCATTTTTTGACTACTTTTATAAGGCGAAAGCAAGTCAGAGACATTTTCTTGATTCTTTTTTTTTCGCATTTTTAGTAATGCTTACAGTAATTCTGTGAATATTCGTATAACCATGAACGAAAAAGTCTGATTCTAGAATAAATATTCGGAAATAATACAGACTTCTGATTCGAACTCTAAGATAATCATTTTTAAATAAAATTCGAAAAAACAAACATTACGACTTCTAGGGTATTCGAATGAAAAAAAAGCATGATTTTCATCGAAGTTTTATCCATCATCAAAATACATTCTTGAAAAATGAAATAGACGAATCTTTATGTGCTCGTATTGTAAATCACATCAATATTTTAGAGAAATGCTCGACGATCTAAATGATGAAGATCTTTCTTGAGTTGAATATAGCATTAGTCTAGCACTTCTTTACAAAAATAATTGAAATGAGGTGCGAATATAATATTCTAATCTCAGCTATGATCGAATGAGAAAAGTAAACCCACCGCATGTCAAACACTCAACTAATACAACCAACAGCATTGTTGACATTTTATATTATTAATGAAAGTTTGATAAAGCTCTCAGATTCTTTCAAAAAATACTGAAGATACAAGATAAATATTATCCTTCTGCTCATGTGGGCATTGCTCATTGCCTGGAATTCATTGCACTTGTATTGATTGACTACTGTGACTATGCTCATTCGCTGAATTATTTGGAAAAATCAATTGAAATGACACAACAATGTTCATCAGTTGATCATCTTTCTATTAACAGAACTTTGAATAATATTGAAGTTCTGTATGAACATCTGAAGAAATCTGATAAAGCGCTTCAGTATTGTAAGTAGGGACTTGCTATTTATAAGACAAGTTTGATAATCGGACATCCTAACCGAAAAGAAATCGAGAATATGCTGGCGTAGGTCTACACCAGACAATCATTAGCACACACACACCGATATTCTTTTCTCATCAGCCACTCTTAGTAAATCTTAATTACTTTTTTGCTAATAGATCCATCATTGTCTAGTGTTTATACACATGTCAACCTTTTTTTGGTTTCACTTCGGTAAATAGTGTCTGTCACTTTTGTTTTCTTACTATTATATTGAAGCATGTACTAACTCTATCAGCGTATTCTCGATTTTTTTGTTCTCTTCAATCATGTTCTATATCTTTCTGCTGATTTTTTTTATTCAACCATGCTTCTTCTTTCTCTTACTTTTAAATAAAATTGTAGTATACATTCTAAATTTCGAATAAAATAAATAATATACAAGAATACGTTATTAAATATTTAGAGTTTGAATCATACTCAATACTTAGATATTCCTGTCTGGATCGATCAATCCAAAGTAAGTAGTATTTTCTTTTGTTTTAATTTATGATTATTCTATTTATATGTCAAGAGCGAGTTTTTTATCAATGATCCCAAATCCTTAAGGGGATTCCATTTCCAGGATTGTTCGACAAAAAAATCATGACACTTTCCAGACAGATAGGCCTCGATAAGTAAAGTATAAGTTATCATTGACTTGAAAATTTCCAGATGTGTCCTTGAGGGAGATATTGAGGTCGCAAAGGCCAAACATTTTTTTTTCAATGGTATTAATTTTTTAAAGGTTGCCAAATTTTGTAGGAATAACATTTTAAAGACAAAAAATACGCATTTCAGTTTGGTTAAAGTGTTCAGAAAAAAATTTGAGTCCGATCGAATGTACGATGTGGAAGGAAAGAGAAGATAACTTCAGTTGTTTTTTGTTCAAAAATTGACTTTGAGAAAAACGCAAAATCAACTTTTCAGTATGCATCAGGACTATTTTTCTCCAACTAAAGGGGTAGAAAACTGGTCATGTTCAGCGGTGTTAGGGATCCATGGCCCATACTCTCAGCACCTTTGAAATGAAAAATAACCATTATCATTAGAAGAATTTTATATACAAAGAATAGCTGCCGTACGGGTTTTTCTGCTAGGGATTTCGAGAGTTCGATTGAATAAAAGTACTAACTTACAGCGAAAAACCTTCATTTATATGGTATTTGGCAGAGAACACCTAGAAGATATAACAAAAATCGAAAAAATTTTGATTTTAACATCGGGAAAAGGAAGAGTGGATCTTCTTAACATATTGCTCCTAACTATTCAATGGATTTTTCTTTCAAAATAGAAAAAGTAATATATTCCGTAGAAAAAAAAAATTCAATCATAATCAAGGTTCGTGAAAATATGCGAACGCAATACAGATAGCAATATGACTCTTTTCTTATGATTTGATTATTTTTGTAATCTGAATTATAATTTTTTCTGTTGTATTCTCAAATAACGAATTCAAGTTTATACTGATAACATCTGTTCCTAGAATATCTGATTGTAAGTAACAAAATATAAACAATCTTTACGTAGGTACCATATGTTGCCAAGATCTATTGTTTCCAAATAAAAAAAAACTGATATAAATAAGACAGTTGACTATACTTGTAATAAACCATTCCTAACGAATTCCATTCATTTATTGATATGATTCTGTTTACTTATCGATTGATAGTTGTCTTGTTTCTTTTTATTTCTCAAGTACATGGATCCTGTGTTCGTAGTTTACTTAAGCAACCACCGTCAAATGATACTTCGGGTAATTTTTATATAAGACTTTTCTCTCAGAAATATGTAGAGTTTATTCGAATTGTTAGACAATAAGATAACCGAAAAATATTGTGAATATTCTGGTATGCAACATCCAATTGGTAGCTATTGGAATTCATCATATCCTGATTGTCTTCGATGTGAATGTAACGAAAATGGATTAGAATGCTGTGGGTATGTAATAATGTTTGTAATATATATATCATAATATTTTCTATTGGATCTTAATGTATCACGTAGATATGAACGAGAAGCTGGCTCGATTGAACCTCCAGAAGGTTGTGAATTACTTGAAGGTATATGTGAAGTTGTCTTCGTTCAACAAAGTGATCATTTTCAGTTGTGTAACGAAAATAGGCCGGTCAAATCGATACGTTCTAAAAAGAAGAAATTTCTTATAAGACGTAAAAATTCCATAATAATACATAGAAAGAAAACTGAAATTATGCTTAACTAATATCATGTTTCATCTTCTAATTATTTAATAAAGCAACAACAAATAAAATCCTAAAATTTTATATCAAGTAATCATATTTAAATTTGCACTTGTATCATGAAATAAAATCAGATATAATTCAATATAAACAAATCATTATTAATGAGAGAGCAAAATGAATATTCAAACAAGATATTTCATTGAACTTTTCATATAAAAAAACTTTATTCTAAAGTATATATGGTATCTACAAAATGATGGCATTAACTAAGTGTTACATATACAAGGTCAAGAAAATTAATCTTTGTTTCCTTTCCATCCAAATACGTAAAACAAATATTGCACAGACAGGCATTTTTTCATTCTACAAGAGAGAGACAATTAATCATGAATCAACAACAATGGTTGTGTAGTATGCGTAGCAAAAAAAAGAAAAGAACAAGAGAGAAAAAGGATCAGTCGTTACTACAATTATCTATAGATATGGACAAAGATTTACTTGTGTTGAGAGGTTATGACGCCTGCAGAATAATAGTAGGAGTACTAACGATATTTTTTTCTTTCTTCTGGATGATCAACAATATATGATAGACCTGGATGTGCTGATAGAATGAAAGAGATAGAGAGGGCAAAGAAAAAAGTAGCTTTAGTCGGTCGTTTTGGCATTCTCACGCAGCCACACAATTATGTATACACGCCTATTAAATGGTTACTGCTACTAACGAATAGCTATTATTAACCATTGAAATTTACTATAAACGTAAAGTATTGAGTTTTTATTAAAATCTAAATTTGGATATTCATTTTGATTTTATTAATTACAAAATCGGACATTATTATTATTGTTATTAATTTCGATTAATAATCTGTTATGAATTACGTTCCACTAAATGGAAAACAAGAACAATCTACTTCGTCACCGAATTCTTTTCATGATTCTAATAGATTTTACATTAATCAACAAAAAACTATTTTACATCCACCAAAATCTCGATTTCAATTAACAGTTAATGGTCATTCGCATCCACATCATCAGCAGCAACAACATTCTCATAGACCACAGGACTTTTCTCGTATGACTATTCAAAAACCAGATATACGTCCTTCTCGAACACCAACACCATTTAGTACAATGGTGCCAATAACTCGTGCTAATAATCCTTTGAATAATGTTCAACAAAAATTAGCTGCACTTACATTACGTTTAGAAAAAGAATTACAAACTGATGCAACTGTAGATGAATATTATGGTCAATGTACAAAATGTGGTCAACCAGTAACTGATTCGTCTGATGCTTGTCAAGCGATGGGTGAACTTTATCATAATAACTGTTTTAAATGTGTTGTATGTGCTCGAATATTACGAGGCAAAGCATTTTATCGTATACATGATCAAGTGTACTGTGAAGAAGATTATTTGGTAGGTATAGATAAAAAAATGTATGTAATTATATATGCTTTCCAGATGGTAGATTTTATTTTTGTTGATGTATATATATTCATAAAGGATACTTTGGAAATAAAATGATTCTTTTATTTATATTGTACTTAGTCAAAAACAAAGAACAAAGAAATTTTTTAAATATAAAATTTTTATTTTTAGTTTACTGGCTATCAACAAAAAGTAGAGAAATGTTATAGTTGTGATCATCTTATTATGGATAAGGTATTTTATTAATTATATAACAAAAACTTTTTTTTTTGTTTTCAATGTTTTCTTTTTAATCAAGATGCTTCAAGCACTTGGTAATTCATATCATCCTGGTTGTTTTCGTTGTTCAACATGTAATGAATGTCTTGATGGTCATCCATTTACTGTCGATAAAGAACGCCGTATACTTTGTTTATATGACTATCATAAGTAAGATTTCAGTTTGTGTGTTTTTATTAAGTTTGTGATTTTCTTCTTTTTTTTTTTTGTTGAATTTTTTTAGTACTTATGCTCCTAGATGTGCTAAATGTGGTTATCCGATTTGTCCAGAAGACGTAAGAGATAGACTTTTGAGAAAACGAAAGAAAAGAAGATTTTCTTTCTTTTTTTGTTTTTATTTGATAGGGTTCTTATGAAACAATTCGTGTTACTGCTATGAATAAAAATTTTCATGTTGAATGTTATCGATGTGAGGTATTATTGAGTGGAAATTATTTTTATAGTACTTCTGTTTATCTTTTTGTTATAGGATTGTCAATCTAGTTTGAGTGATGAGCAGACGATAGCTCTTTTAGGCGGTTGCTGTCCGTTAACAGATGGCACATTATTATGCTATCGATGTCGAATGCGTCGAGGTGCTAATGACAACTGAATGGCTTTCTTGTGTATTATTCCACAAATATAGACAATTGTCTTATTTTGATGTGTTATTTATACTTAACATCAGACATGAAGTAGAAGATGAAGGCCATTGTCTGTAACTTTTTATTATTGTGTTCGTTTGGTTTTTATTATTTTGATTGATGCAGTAAATGATAAGAAATAATTTGATCTGTCGCGATATGGCAGTACAACATTTCGAAAGAAGTAGAACAAGATATACGACATATGTCATCGACTATTGTAAAATTCAACACATTGGTATTCCGACAATTTATAAGAAAATATACTTTGATTCTCGGACGTCATTTGATTTTGTATTTTGACTATGAATAGTTTCTATGAAATCGAAATGAATGTAAAATAAAAAAAAATTTAAACATTTGATTTCTCCTATTGGAAGTTTGATGTCTCTTTTCAAATATTCATTTCGATAGAAAGTTTTATTCCTATTCGAAGTTATTATAGTTCAATGGAAGAAGAAAAATACATAAAAATTCTACAGTCTCTTTATCCAAAGATATTCGAAATACCCAGAGAACCTTTCTAGGCCACAGTTGGAACTAGTAGAATTTTTTTTCAATCGGACTAAATCGATGAAAAACTCGTCTATTTAACCGTTTACTTCAGATAGAGATTTCAGAAGAGTCACTAATGAAACAACTATTGGAATGGAATATTGATGTCTCCAGTATATCGATAGCATGGACAGATTAATCAGATGTACTTTAGTGATCTTTGGAGAGAAACGACTTGATAAAAACCCTATCTAAAGCCTTCCGTAAATCTCATGTAGTTCGGCAGAAGAGCATTTATGGATGGCTTGTTTTGTAGAGAAGGATTTGTTCTATCATTTCGTGTGATGCGAGCAAATTTTACGACAAAGTTTAGGCACTGAAAAATTAAACATTTGATTTTCTGAAAAATTCATAGTGACTATTCTGTGTTTTATCCTATGTTCTCTACCTAGCTTTTGAGAAACTTTCGAATGATATTGATACCAGTAATAGACATTGTCATTGTTATATATTATACAATACATTTTCATCATATATCTTGTTTGTTGGTAGAAAAATATTTTATTTAAAAAATTCCAACTTTTGCAGTTTTTTCAAATTTACCAATTTTTCACTACGAGACATGCTATCAAAGTTTTCTTTTATTATCTGCAATCGTTCTACAAATAGTCACCCTGGTGACCAAGGGAAGAGAGGTAAAGTGTTAATATAAAAATTAAATAACTAATTCGTTCAAGAAAAAATTATTATTGCAGTTACACGAAGACATACAATGTGAAACTCATATAACTCTTGAAATTTCTAATAATAATAATTTCCATTTTGGTCTGTCACGTTCCATATACATTAATACTAACAACTGGAAGGTTTCTCAACTCTTGAAAGACTATTACTATCTGTAGGATAATAGAATGACCTCTAAAGTACGGTTTTATACTAGACTACATATATTTAGGTTTCTTAATACCTTGATATTTTCATAGTTGCATGATGATAATATTTGGCATAACTTTTTCGATTGAACAGAATCTTTTCTAAGATTTTTGTATCAGAAGGATGAACTGGAAACTACTAACCATTAAGGATTTCTGATGGTCGATTAAAAATAGTCCAGAACATGAGCTTGAAATTATGGTCATGACAAATCTTCACTTTAAGCCGAATTTAACTCCTGATGGCTAGCAAACGTTTCGTGGTCATAATAAATCCATTCAACATAATCCGAGGCTTTTATAGAATGATACGAATTCGTGAAGTCAATACTTAGAGTTGGTATTTTGATTATGACTAGAAATTTGTCAATTGGAGACTTTCAAGGTCATATTTCTGGATCGTTAGAGCCATGAAAATCAATAAGAACGAGTAAAATAGACTAGTTTGAGTATCATAAAATTTAATAAAAAAAGCAGATAACAAACGGCAGGTCTGCTTCCAACTTTGCTCTACACTTTTCTTAGTCTGATAAGTTGTTCGATTGTCAAAGATTACGTGTCTATTCAAAATAAATGAAATGATATCTTCAAAAAAAGTCATATTTTTTTAATGCTTAAGCCCACCTTCCCTCTCCCTCAAACATTGTAAAATTCGTCAAAAAAAATCGATTTTAAAATTTTCATGTCATTATCTACTTTCAAAAAACAGTATGATTTATTGAAAATCTGATACTTTTTCATGGTTTTACATAGGATTTCTTGATGATGCTGGAATCAGGAAAAATTTTTGTTTTATGAAACTGTTAGCTATTGTTGTCTTTTGACCTCTGTCTAAAGTTTACCATAATAGAGAATCTAGAAAAAAAAATGTATAAAATAATTAGAAAGCACTGCAAGCCTTCGAACGAGTAGAGTCGTCCCTTGTATTTTTTTGCTGTCAGCACTCATTTAATTATGTAACTGTTTTGACCGTGTTATGTCAGAAGGCATCTCTTCTGACATAATTATACGTTCTCTTCTCTTTCTTCGGCATCATAATTTCATGTTTATAATAATTCGTTTCTTCCTCTCATCTTTTGTCTAACTAAATAGCTGGTATTGTTAGTGTGGGTTTGAATGAGTAGAGTTGATTGTGGATGGATGACATGAATAACCACACCCACACCTCATATGTTTTTCTATTGTAGATTCAAATTTTTAGACACTGTACAAGTATGCTCAAGTTTTCGTTTGATCCATCATAATTGATAACAAATAGTAGACTACGATCGATGTGCTTTCTCTACCGTTTTGACTTATTTTTCGAGAAAAATAGATCTTTTTTCACAGGATTTTCCCTATTTTTTCGAGCTTTTCGGAAAAAAAACTGACACGGAAAAAAGATAGAGAAGAATTTGAAAAATTTAGCTCTGTTAAGTTGTAGCGACAAGTCTGTTAGCAACATTTTGACAGCAGCCCAAGATGTGTATCATTAGATTTGGGAAAGACATCTGGATCATACGAAGACCTATTCTTTAACTCTTCATATAGAGATAACTCTTGAACAGCCTAATATTTTGAACAGAAATTCCTACTGTAAGCTTCATAGAATCGGACACATATTTTCTGAAATTTTCATCTAGATCGGTTGTTCTGAGACAAAAATAGATTTTTAACAGTGATGGAATGCTTACATAGAGTTATCCCGAGCGGGGAGAGTCAGTCAGAAAGGTGATGATTCCAATCTTAATGACCTCGAAATATCTCTGTGTTTAAGTAAAAAAAGAAACTATTCGTTGATTACATCAAGAGTTTTATTTCAAATCAGATATTGATTGACTTAAAATACTCTAATTAAGCATGTTCTTATTAATTAAATAATCACTTTTATATTTTAGTACTTTTTATTTTCATTTTCATACTTGTTTCGTTTCGTTAATTCAAGTAAACACATATAAGAATGAATACAAAAATCACTTGAAAACATTATGTTATATCTCTTTTTTTCATACCACTGGAATATAAATATGGTGCTTGTTTTTCTCATAGAATGTTTATTCACAAGATAAAATTACCTTTGCTTATCATTGCGAGTAGAATACATGAGAATATAATGGAAACTCGACTGAAAAAGACGACACGTACATACAGAAATGCGCATATCAAAAAAATGGGGCATACGGAAAACATGATCACGCATATGATTATTATTCAAAGAAGATAAATTGAAAAAAAAAGATAAAGCAAGTATATATATGTATATCTATCAGAATTGTTTTTAAAGTTTATTTGAATATCACTCTTGCATTTTTATTCTATTTTGACTGAGCATGTGGCTGTTGAACAATGACCTCTCGTGGTTGTTCAATATTAAACGGTGATACTAATTCGCAAAGTTCTTTATTTTCCATTAATAATTGAATAAATTCTTTTGAAGTTATTCTTATATCATCGAGATCTTTGCCTTGATTAAGATGTTCAAGTGATCGTTTTAATTCATCAATAATACGTGTAGTATTTTCTGGATCATCTTTTGCATGAAGTCTCATGGCAATCTATAAATAATATAAAGTTAAATAAACAAAAAGAAAAATAACAAAAACTAAATTTTACTTACTTTAACCATTCGATCAATTTCTTTTTTATTAATCACACCATCTTTATCATGATCATACGTTCGAAAAACATATTTAAGCTTTTCATGTATACTACCATTAGAAGTTAATGCAAAACCAATTAAAAATTCACGTTGATCTAATAGATAAATACGAGAAAGAAGGAAGCTGTTAGTGCAATCCCTGTGGGATTAAAATGTGAAACACGATATAGCTGTTATTCGCACCTTCAACAATAGAATTACTAAGGTGCCCGTCATAGTCTGGAGAAGGGAAGTGAGTCCAAATTTCTATCTCATATACTTCAACACTCCTTTTAGATAGCTTTTCAAAAAGAAGAACAAAGAAGGGGTCGGTCAATAGTTGTTGAAAAGAGTCCTCTCGAGAAATTTGATTTCCTCTATGTCAAACTATCACATAAAGTGTTCGAAAGTGAGTCCTTGTAGAATTAGTCATATAATATTTATTTGTGATGAGTTCAAGCCGATTGAAATAGTCAATGATTGTCACATGTACATTGAATCTGACTGTTGATAATAATCAACACTTCTTATCTATCATCTCATGAGTGACAACATTATTCTCATATGGTTCGATAGCACTTTTCAAGCGACTGAAAATTCTATAAAAAATTTGAGGAGAAAAACACTGGTTGATGTGATTTCTCACTGGCCACATTTTCTTCACATACGTGTAATATTAGTATTATCTACTGAAAATCTGCGTCAATGTCAACCAATCTTATCACCAACTAAGCTACTTTTCATATAGTTCTATAGTACTTTTCGAGCGCTTCAAAGTGGTATAAAAATATCAAGGAAGAAACACTAGCCATATAAAGAAATCCTGAGAAGACTATTCTCGAGATATAATTTTATGATTTTTTTTTGCCTGATATTTAGTAGATGTTGATTAGAAAAATATGATTTGGATAAAAACTAATATGAT